GAAGCACAGGCAGGAGGATCATGAGTTAAAGGCTCAGCTAGCCTGGGCTACATAGTGAGACCCTATCTAAAAAAAACAGTCAGGAGCTGGTGGCTCATGCCTGTAATACTAGCTACTTGGGAAATTGAGATTAGGAGAACTGAGTTGTTATTTGGCAGTGGGGGGTAGTTTGAACTCAGAGCCTCATGAGGATGGAGGTTTGAAGACAGCCTCAAAAGACCTCATCTCCAAAATGGACTGGAGGTGTGGCTCAAGCAATAGAGTGTCTGCTTTGCAAGCTCAAAGCCCTGAGTTCAAATCCCAGTCCCATAAAAAAAAAAAACAACACCAAAGGGGGAGGCTGATAAGAAAGAGGATTAAAGGGGGTGAATTTGATCAAAGTATATTATATGCATGTATGGAAACAGTTGAAACCCTTTGTACAATAATATACACTGATTTTAAAAAGGGGAAAAACAGAAACAATAAACAAGGATGGCAGAAATAAAGCAAAGACAAGTAACAGATGAGGGGGAGCTATCTGGGGACTTTATTATACCTAGTATCCAGAAAACATGAATAATGTCTACAGATCTATGAAAGGCTGAAAAGTGAGTAAAGGATATGAAACATGAAAGTCACAGATGAAACAAAAACAATTAGTAAACACAAGACACACAAACATGCACGTAGTCAGAGGAATAAAAATTAAAAGTAACAGCAGCTGCCAGTATTTGGCTCAATTCATAGATGAAAACACTGAGGGTTAAACCACCTAACATGGAGCAAGCAGGCTGGATGATGTGCACCCAGGCCTTGGGGTACCAGAGCTCTTGCTCAAACTATTGTACCTCACTGCCTTTCTGCAGTGGGGAACAGTCAGGACCTGTCATCTATGAGGCTGGCCAGAGCTACAAAGTGTGACAGTACCTAGAGCTGATGAAGATGCAGGCCCCAAAAACTCACATGGGCTGACATGGGACTGTACACAGGTGCAAGAGTGAATGCTTATGTTTATGTTGCCTTGGTATCCATTTTAAATATATCTCTGGTGGGGGAGGGGAATAAAGGAGAGTGGTGGAGGAGATGAATTCAAGTATGATATATTTAATACATTGTAAGAACTTCTGTAAATGCTGCAATGTACCCCCACCCAGCACAAAAAGAAAATAAATAAAAAGAACACAAATATCAAACCACATCCAAGACAACTTTAAAAAAATAAAAAAAAGATAGAAATCCTCAAAAAAAAAAGTAAATATATCTTTGGGGCTGGGGGATAGCTCAGTGGTACAGCACTTGCCTAGCATGTGCAAGGCCCTGGGTTACATCCCCAGCACCACTACCAAAAACAAAAGATATATTTACATATGCATGTATGTGTGTATATGCATATACATTTACATACCTGTGTGTATGTATATATATATATATATATGTGCACGCACACACACACACACATATACCAGAAGCAGGAACCAGTCTGACAGTTTCCAGTTCTACACTTCAGGTTGTCTGCCTTATACAGCTGCTCCCAGGTGACCTCTTCCCTGTGGATGTGGCCAGCTTGTCTGGCTCTGCTGATCCTCCTACCTTCATGGACAGTGCAGAAATGTCACAGTGAGGACTGGGAATGTGGCTCAAGTGGTAGAGTGTCTGCCTAGCAAACACAAGGTCATGAGTTCATGACCAAAAAAAAAAAAAAAAAAAATGCCACAGTGAATACCTCAGGCACAATGTGACATCCTGCAATTCATGCCTGCTTCTGCTTGCTTTATTTATTTTGTTCTGGTACTAGGGTTTGAACTCAGGACTTCATGCTTGCTAGGCAGGCACTCCACTACATCAGCCACTCCACCTGCTTGCTTTAAACCCACCAACCCGAGATAATACAATGGCCCAATAAAGGTATTGGCCCAAAAGTCCCTTTCTCTTTTTCTCCACATGCTCACTGACTTTCATGTGTGGCTTCCAAGTATGTCATGACCAGCAAGACCTGTAAGTCAGTCTTTATTTCCATCATGCCTCTCTTGTCCCTGAAAAGAGTGCTGTCTTAAGATTCTAAATTAAAGCAGGTATAGTGGTGCATACCTGTAATCTTAGCACTCAGGAGACAGTCAGGGCTAAAAAGTGAGACTCCCGCCTCAGAAAAAACATAAACAGGCAAACGAACCCAGAGCAGTACATCTCTTAAAAATCAAAGTGCTGGGCTGGTGAAGTGACTCAAGTGGTAGAGCACCTGCCTAGCAAGTGTGAAACCCTGGGTTCAAACCCCAGTATTGAAAAAAAAAAAAGCAATAAAATAACCTGGTGGGGGAGAGGGAATCAAAGTGCTCAGGGCTGGAGGTGTGGCTCCGAGCATGTATAAGGCCTTGAGTTCAAATCCCAGTACCACCAAAAACAAACAAAAACTCAGAGTGCTCAGAGCCGAAGAGCATCAGGATCCTTCTAGTAGTAAACTCTAGAGAAACACGGGTCCTGATCAAACCAGGAGCTCCCTGCAGCACTATCGGAAAACAGAAGCAAAATGCTGGGAACATTGGTGCCCACCTGTGGGCAGACAGCTAGATAAACACAATATGTAAATAAAAACAAAATGGTTCTCTCTCTCTCTCATGCACACATGCTCGCTCTTCCCCAAGGAACCAAGGAAAGGCCTGGTGTTGCTCAGGCTAGTCTTGAACTTGTTATGTAGCTCAGGCTGGCCTCTATCTTGTGATGCTCCTACCTCAACCTCCTGAGTGTTGGGATTACAGACATTCACCACTTTGCCTAGCTAAAATGGCACACTTTCAATGGATGCATATACCACAGTTAAAGTACATAAAAAACAAGACAGATTTCATAAAACTTCGAAAAGTGTAACACTGACCCAAATGCTCCCATGTAACCCAGTAATTCTACTTCTAACAGAACTGAAAATATAAACTCAAAACAGAAGGAAACAATCCAAAGGTACATCAACAGATGAATAGATAAAACAAAACGGCCTAGCCATATAATGGAATGTTGTGCAGCCATGAAAAGAAATGAAGTACTGACATCTGCTACAAATTGGGGAACCTTGAAAACATGATAATCAGTGAAAGGAGCCAACACAAAAATACAAGTACAGGATTGGAGGAGAGTACTTGTCTAGCAAGCATAAGCCCCTGAATTCAAAAAATAGACAAATATTGTGTGATCCCAATTAAATGAAACATCTAACACAGGCAAATTCAGAGATAAAATGTAGATCAGAGGTTACCAGGGGATGGGCAGTTACCATAGAACAGGTACAAAGTTCCGATACATACACTAGACCTTGGTATCTGAGGGTACGTGGTTCCAAGAGACAGCTATTGACAAAAACCCAAAAATATTCAGGATGCATAGTTTAGTACTCTAAAATTATTCATATTTATCTATTCTATATGTACAGGTTTGAGCATCCATACATTGATACTGCATGAAGTAGACTACATTACTATGTCAAAAATTACCATGGTACACATTTGCACTAGTCACCAAAAACTACATCTTGTTTTGTGCTCTTTATCTTGAATTCTCCAGATTCCTGATTCATTATTCCCATAATTCCCAACTTCCACTAAAGATGTTCACCTTTCAGTGAAACTAAAAATTTCACTTTTTCACTCAAATTAAGCACATTATGTGCCTTTTTTGGCCTGGGAGGATTTGCTTTGTGGAAGGCAGATTTTCAAAAAATTAAGGGAAGGGAAACACTCAGCGATCACACAATTTAAATACAACTGATGATAATTTGGGATTGAGAGCTTCTTTGCATCCACTGAGCTGTGGAATGCGCATGTAGGAATTTAAAATTTTTGTTTTTCAAATTATTTATTATTTATACCCACAAATACTGTAGTAGTGATGGGGGCACAATAGTGAGTATAATTAATGTCACTGACCTACGCCTTTGAAATGATTTAAAGTGATACATTTTAGAACACACATACACACACAGATTAGGAAATAGAGGCCAAATCCTGGGGAGTGGGAGACAGATTGCAGAGGTAATCTGAACTGAACTTAAGCCTCAGCTGTAAAGTCAGCTTTCAAAGAGGACCCTGGATCTGTGAAGTACACCTATTATAAAAAAATAAATAAATAAAAATTAAAAAAGGATAAAGGAAGGGTCTCCACAGCATTTCAGAGAGTTTTCACCCAGACCATTAGGGGAGGGGAGGTGGGTTTCCATCTCCCTACACCCTACCAGACTCTGGGCCCTGGTTCCCTGAGACTTTAGCCCCTGGCAGCAGGAGAGGCTGGGGCAGAAATGATTCCAGGAACATCTAGATCATGGTCAATGCATTTACAGTCTTTATTGTAAAGAAGTTGCAGTTATAACAGGGGACACTGAAAATACACAATCACGGATTGTTCTTTCAGAGAAGGGAATGAGGGAGAGATCCATCATACAAAAATTGTAAACATGTTCACTTAAATATCCACATATAATTGATCTATACTACAATGTACAGGATTGTCACTCAACTGCAACTCCAGATGAGGCATCTTGTCTGTAAGAATGAAATATGGCAATGCATTTGGTTTGGACTTAATGTGAAAAGCCAGCTTCAAGCAATGCATGAGGAGTCAGCTATGCCCAGGGACCCTCACCTGGGGCTGGGCCTTATAATGGGGTACAAGGGAGGGAAGGAGGGAGGGAGGGACTGGTCCAGGAAGCCAAGGTAAAGTAGTTTGCAGGAATGGCCGTCTCCAGGGGCACCGTGGGCAGATGGAACCTCTAGGCCTTTCCTTGTGAGAGACTTGTCTTGCCTGGCACTCAGGTACTCAGGTGTCCCCCTCCTCCCCTGGGTAAAGTTTTACTGAAGGGCTGACAACTTCAGTGTGTTGTGCCTTCCTGGCCAAAACCACCCACACCTGGGCAGGGGCCAGAGAGAGAGGGGCAGCTGCAGGGCACTATGAGATGAAACCTGAAAACTTGACCACAATCACAACACTGACAGGGCCTGGCTGCTCTAGTGAGACGGCCATAAGAAATGGAGGGGGGCTCTGGACAGGATGGACCACATGACAGGAGCAAGGACAGTCATGGTCCACAGGGACACAGGATGGTGAACAATGGCCACAACCCCCAGAGTGGGGCTAGTGTCCCTTCCCCTCCCTGAACTGGGCCCTGGAGGGCAGCTGGATTTCTGACCCTGGAGTGGACAGGTGAGCCCTAGGTTGGCCGCCCCATAAAGGGAATGCCTCTCTCAGGGCCAGTCCACTCCAGGCCGTGCTGTCCCCTTCTTAGGACCTCAGGCCTGGGACCCGAGGCTGGTGGAACTTGGTGGGGACAGGCCCGGCACCCCAGGGAGACTACCCCTTCTCGGCCCCAGAGGTCCACAGTGACCACCTTCTCTGTCCCTGGCGCTGGGCAGGTAGGACCCAACAGAGGTCCCAGGAGGCCTTGAGGCCTGCGTTGGTGGGGTGGCCTTCCAGCCCTGGCCCGAGCCTGCCAACAACCACTAGTAGGCGGGCACCTGGTACCCTTTGGGGCTGGTGTCCAGAGTCTCGGTGAAGGGCGGGCTCTGGTAGGTCTCGGTGCCCTCCACGCCGCTGCCCACGGGGTAGCCAGGGTAGGCCTGGGCCGCCCCGGCGCCCAGCTGCTCGGTGGCGAAGAGCGACATGTCTGTGCCCAGGCGGAACCGCTGCAGGGCCTTCACGGTGAGCGCCACCTGGGCGGGGAGCCGGGGTCAGCCGCGGCCAGCCGGGGCCCACCCGTCCCCCACACCGCCCACAGGGCCCGCACTCACCCAGCTGAGAATCGAGAAGAAGCTGAAAGCGATGGCCGCCCGCGCCGCGTCCCCCGCCTGAGTGGTGCCTGGCCCGGGCGCCGTGCGCTGCCACTGATTGGTGAGGAAGCAAAAGCCCACGAACCACAGGAAGGACCAGAGCCCTGCGGGTGGTGGCCAGCGGTCAGGCAGCCACCTCCAGGGGCAGCCACCTCCAGGGGCGCCCGCCTCACCCAGCCTCGGCTCGGTCACAGGCCGCCGGACTTCGCGCGCTCAAGCGCGGGGTGTTTTTGTCTAGCCGTCTTCTGGCCTAAGAAAGGCCCCGCCCACCCTAGCCCCGCCCACTGAGCCGCCCCCGGGCGAGCGCCAGGCCCCGCCTCTTCATGGTCTGCTCCGCCCCCTGCAGAAGCCCACAGCCTCGCTCTGCGCTCCAAGCCCCGCCCCCTCGAGGCCGGCCCCGCCCACCTGAGAAGCCCAGGTCTAGAAGCACAGCGCGGCGGCGGTCGCGGACGCTGCTGATCTGCTGGAAGCGCATGTCGAGCAGCAGGAAGGCGGCGCAGGCGAGGAAAGCCCCGAGGCCCAGTGCGACGCCGAAGCGGCAGGCGCCCGCGTTCCCGTTGAAGACGCAGCGCAGCTCCGGGCCGCTGTCGGCGTTCACGTAGCCCTCGTTGACAATGGGTCCGAACACGGCGATGGAGAACACCTGCGGGCGGCGGGGCACGCTCAGGGGCCCATGGCAGCCCCTGCTCACATCAAGACATCGGACCTCCATCGCCCACCACGAGCGCCCATGTCCCCAGCCTGACCCAGAGTTCCCCTGAAGCATCAAGCCTGTCTTTCCCACCCCCTCGGTAATTTACTAACTATGGCCAAGTTTTGACATTTAGTGAGCAGCTATCACGTCCAGGCACTTGTGCTAAAACCGCTCCTTTTCATGGTTTGCTCACTGAATCCTCCAAAACTCCCACGTTCTCATCCTGTTATAGGTGGGGATATTGAGTCCCAACAGGTGAACTGGCTTAAACAGGTCCAATGACTGAGAAACGCCAGGGCAGAAATTAAAAGCCATTTCCTCTGTACAGCCTGGGGCCCATGATGGCCCCCCTAGAGCCTACTCAAAAGAGTGGTCACAGGAGCTTTCAGTCAGCAGGACATGGGTGAGAGCCTGGGGTGGGGTGGGGGTACCAGAAGGGCAGCTGCCCAGAGCTTTAGCCAGTCCCACTTCAAACCTCTCTAGCATGCCATAAGGGGTAAACAGGCCCTGCCCAGGGTGCTGGGTTCAAGAATGTCCACCAGGGGTGACACAGTGTTACATTCTAGGAAAGAACATTGTGTCTGAAAGATGTTTGGGCTGGGGCGTGGCTCAAGTGGTAGAGTGCCTGCTTAACAAGGATGAGGCCCTGAGTTCTAAACCCAAGCACTGCAAAAAAGAATGTCCATCAGCTTCCGGCAGTAGCAGGCACTTGAAGGATGATGACCCCCTCATAATTATAATTAATTAACATTACTCATGAGTGTGTGGACTCCAAAGTCAACCTCTGGGGTTCAGCCCAACCTCAGTACTTTCTGTCCACCAGTTCCTGGAGGTAGGTGGGAGTTAGACCACTGTCATTTTAAACCAGACGCTGGTCTTAGCTCTGGGCAGCCCTGTTTCCAAGAAACGTCCTCAGTTTCAGTTTCATCATTTCATTCCTTTCCTGCTCCAGCTCAGAGAGATCATAATCAAGGGGAAAGCCAGGGCATGGATATGTTCCCCCAGAGCTCCAGATCAGAGCTGGGACCAGAACACAGGGTTCTTGCTTCCTGGTATGGTCAGTCACTCCATGGTAAGGCTGGGTGGGGGAGTTGCCCCACCCTGGGCACCACCTTCCTCCAAGACGGACATGGAGGTGCGACAGGCACCAGCTGGGCAAAGCCCAGAAGAAGCAAAGCATGTACCAGTGGGCTGCACCAGTGGGCTCGACTGCCTGAACCTGCCCCCTCCACACCACCTCCAAGAAGCTCTCCTGGTGCAGAGACCCTTCCGGCAGTCCCAGCCTGGAGCCAGCCTCCCCTCAACTCAGCTGGACGGAGTGGGAAGGGTGGTGGCTGGGAAGAGCCGGCTCCATTCAAAGGGACCTGGGGTATGTGTGTGTCAGGAAAAGGGGAGGCTCTGCCGAGTCCCTTTCGGCTCCCACAGCCCCCTCCTCGAGTTGGGGCAGAGCGTGCCCACTTCTGAGTCATGAGAACAGGGAAAATGGGTAGAAGGCTGAAGAAAGGGATTGGAGTTAGACCAAGGAAGAACTGCGGGCTGTGGGCGACCGGCAGTGACCTCTCAAGGTCCCTCAGTCGCCGCCAGCCCCTCCCCCGCCGGCAGGTGGGCGCGCCCAGCCCGGTGACGTCACCCCAACCTGCGGCCGGCGGGGGAGGGGCCGGCAGGGAGGAGGATGAGGGTGAGGGGCGAGGGGCAGAGGGCGGGTTGGGGGACAACGGACGCGAGGACAGGCGTGGCTCCGGACCGGGGCAAGGGGCTGGGCATGGGCCACTCACCCAGGACGCGACCCGCAACAGGGTTTGGGGCCGCCGCGCGAAGCTCACGGGGTCCAAGGCGGCCCCCGCGCGGCCCGCGCCAAACGAGGCGCCCTCCATGGCCGGCCCGGGCTGCCGCCCGACCCCGGTGCCCTCTGTCCGTCTGTCCGTCCGGCCTGCCCCACCCGAGGCCGCCGGGGGCTGCTGCCGAGGCTGCTGATGCTACAGATGCTGCCGCCGCCTCCCGGGAGCGCGCGCGGGCCGCGGCGGGGGCGCGCGGGGCGGAGCCAGGCCAGCGCCCCCGACTGGGTCCACGCGCGGGCCTGAGTCCTGTCTTCGGTCCGCCCCGCCCACCCTCACCTGCATGACCCTGTCCGAAATGGAGACATTCTGCGTGGACCCACCGCCATTCCCCATGGAGATAGGGGTGGGCAAGGGGAGACTTAGACTGCAGTGGCATAGAAGATGGACAGAAGGACAAGCATGTGATCCTGTTCCTCTGAGCAGGGCCCTTTGGTGAGCGCGGAAGGAGGAACTGAGGCCCAGCCCAGAAGACCAGAGATAGATAATTCGGGGGCCTTTCCCATGACCCTCCGCTCTCCCCCCACCACTTCCCAGTGCAACCTAGCTGCTCCTTCAGAAGGTTCTAACATTCCTGACAGGGAGGGTCAGGTGAGAATGGCTTCTGCCTTCACAGGCACTTGTCTCGGGGACAGAACATCATGGCCAGCATGGGTGAGTGCTCCTTTCCTGTGGCCAGGTGGTGTCTTGCAGGAGGTCGTACCACCCTCGTGTCTTCCCAGAGTGGGAAGCAGCAGCAGAGATGGGCCCAGGTGGTCCTTAATGCGCAAATCCCTGCTGTTTCACAGGGCCTCCTTCCCACGTGCTCTTTCCGCACCAGGCTGGCAGGAGCCTGAAGGACTCCTATGTTACTGGTCTTAAGAGAATCGAAGGTGGTGCAGAGGGAGTGGCAGTGGGAGGGTCATGGGAAAGACCCCCAGTTAAGCAAAATAGCAGTGGCTCACACCTGTAATCCTAGCTACTTGGTAGGCTGAGGTGGAGAGGATCAAGGACCTAGGCTACCTGGGCAAAGTTTGTAAGACCTCATCTCCAAACTAATCAGGAAATTAGACTGGATGTGTGGCTCAAGTGGCAGAACACTTGCTCTGCATATTGGAAGCCCTGAGTTCAAACCCCAGTCCCACCCCCCAAAAAAACAACCCTAGTTAGCTGTCTGGTCTCCCCTGGGACCAGGGCCAAGAATAAGCAATCTGCACCAATGGTGACTGTACAGTGCCAAGCATTTTACTGTGGACCTGTACAAGTAAGTCTTACTAGTCCATTCTTCAAAGGGAAGTGTGGGCAGTTGGTAGTGCCTGGCCCAGTTTTGGTCTTAAAAATTTTCCTAGACCTAGTTGCACACTGGTGGGCACACCAGGTGTGGTCAGAAGTGCCACCCACGAGCATTTGATCAAATCCATTACAATATGCATCCAGTCCTGTTCCCTGTCACCTGTGGCATTGCATCTCCCCTGTGTTATCCATCCCCCCTTTTCGTCAATCACTTGTGTCAGCACTCAAGCCCAAATATCCTGTGCATTCTTTGGAAAAAACAAACACAACCTTGACCACACTTCCCTCCAACGGCTCTCTTTAGCAGCAAACTTGAATTGTCACCCTTGGCTTCCAATACCTCTCCTCCTTTTTCCTCTGAAACCCAGTATAATCAAGCTCCCCAATGCACCTGGACTCAAGGTGGCCAGTGGCCTCCACCTGCCAATTCTAAGGGCAAATCTGGTTCTTCTGGCCCCTCCCTCCAGGCTACAACACTTTTGATGTCATCAAAAGTAGGTCCTCCTACTTTATGGAACTATTGTTCAGTATGGAACTTGAATCCAGGGTCTTGTATATGCTAGTGCTCTACCACTGAGCTTTATCGCAGGACCCTTTTTTTTTTTGGTGGTATTGGGGTCTCATGCTTGCTAGACAAGTGCTCTGATCCACTCTGCCAGCCCTTTTTCTGTGTTAGGCATTTGCCCAGGCTGGCTTCAAACCTCAATCCTCCTGATTTTTGCCTCCTGAGTAGCTACGATAACAGACATGAGCCACCAGCACCCAGCATATGGTCCCCTTCTTGGCAGCCCTTTTGGGTCCCTTTTTTTTTTTTTTTTTTTTTGGTGTATTGGGGATTAAACCCAGAGCTTTACAAGTTACGGAAACAGCCAAGATGCCCCAGCACTGACGAATGGATTAAGAAAATGTGGTATCTATACACAATGGAATTTTATGCAGCCATGAAGAAGAACGAAATGTTATCATTCGCTGGTAAATGGATGGAATTGGAGAACAGCATTCTGAGTGAGGTTAGCCTGGCCCAAAAGACCAAAAATCGTATGTTCTCCCTCATATGTGGACATTAGATCAAGGGCAAACACAACAAGGGGATTGGACTTTGAGCACATGATAAAAGTGAGAGCACACAAGGGAGGGGTGAGGATAGGTAAGACACCTAAAAAACTAGCTAGCATTTGTTGCCCTCAACGCAGAGAAACTAAAGCAGATACCTTAAAAGCAACTGAGGCCAATAGGAAAAGGGACCAGGAACTAGAGAAAAGGTTAGATCAAAAAGAATTAACCTAGAAGGTAACACACACGCACAGGAAATCAATGTGAGTCAACTCCCTGTGTAGCTATCCTTATCTCAACCAGCAAAACCCCTTGTTCCTTCCTATTATTGCTTATACTCTCTCTACAACAAAATTAGAGATAAGGGCAAAATAGTTTCTGCTGGGTATTGAGGGGGGGAGAGGGAGGGAGCAGAGTGGGTGGTAAGGGAGGGGGTGGGGGCAGGAGGGAGAAATGAACCAAGCCTTGTATGCACATATAAATAATTAAAAATAAATAAATTAAAAAAAAAAACAGAGCTTTAGCCTTGCACTCTTTCACTTGAGCCACATCCCCAGCCCTTTGTTTTTGATTTCTTTTTCTTTTCTTTCTTTTTTTTTTTTGGCAACACTGAGGTTTGAACTCAGCACCTTGTGCTTGGTAGGCAGGTGCTCTACCTCTTGAACCACATCCCTGCCCAGCTTAATTTTGTTTTTGAGATGGAGTCTCATTAACTTTGCCCAGGCTAGCCTTGAACTCATGATCCTCCTGCTTCTGCCTCACAAATAGCTGGGATTACAGAGCGCACCACCATGCCCAGCTCTGGGTCCCTCACCTTGCCAGACCTGAACCTGAGGGGCTGAGAGCTCAGTCCCTGGGCTTTCTGTGCTGACTCCCTCGCTCTCTGTGATGACAGTTCTCCAATGCCTGCTCAAACTAGAACCTTCCCTTGTACTAGGGTTTCCATGTGTCTTGGCCTGGATGCCCTGGAAAACAGTCTGAGGCAAAGTAAAGTTTTATTGGGGGAGCAAAACACCAGGGAAGCCAGTTAGGGAAAAAGGACAGAGAGGTGGGGAAGAGGGGAACACAAATACAGGCAGTGTGTCCACATACTGACCATAGCTTTAGTAGGGAACCAATGCAATACATGCATTAGGCCTCAACAAAGGTAGCTGGGTGTGGTGGTGAACTCCTGTAATTTCACCTACTCAGGAGGTGGAGATCAGGAGGACTGTGTTTCAAGCCCAGGCCAGGCAAAAATTATCTCAACCAATAAACTGGGCAGCACTTTGTGCAGGGGACCGGTGGCTCACTCCTGTAATCTTAGCTACTCAGGATGCAGAGATCAGGAGGATCGCCCTGGCAAACAGCTCACAAGACCCTATCTCAAAGCACCCTTCACAAAAATAGGGCTGGTGGAGTGGCTCAAGGTAAAGGCCCTGAGTTCAAACCCCAGTACCACACATACAAAGAAAAAAAAAAAAACCAAAACTGGGCAGCATCTGTCAGCCTAGCTATGTGGAAGGCTAGGTGGGAGGATCATGGTCCAGGCTGGCCCAGGCAGAAACACAAGACCCCACCAGATGCCAGAAACACAAGACCTCACACCTGTAATCCTAGTTCTTGGAAGGCTGAGATTGGGAGGACTGTGGTCTGAGGCCAGCCTTGGCAGTTTGTGAGACCCTTCTCCAAATATAACCAGATCAAAATATGGACTTGAGGTGTGGCTCAAGTGGTAGAGTGCCTGCCTTGCAAGTGTGAAGCCCTGAGTTCAAACCCCAGTACCTCCAAAAAATAAGTAAAAAGCAAGATCAAAAATAACCAGAGCAAAATGGACTGGAGGTGCCTGCTTTGTGAATGCCTGATTTGTAAGTGTGAAACCCTGAGTTCAAACTCTAGTCCCACCAAAAACAAAACAAAAACACCAAACCACAAGACCCTATCTCAAAAATAAAGCCAAAAGGGCTGGGGGGGGGGGTGCCTCAAGTGGTAGAGCACCTGTCTAGCAAGCACAAGGTCCTGAGTTCAAAACCCAATACCAGCTGAGTGCCAGTGGCTCACACCTGTAATCCTAGCTACTCTGGTGGTAGAGATCAGGATCGTGGTTTGAGGGCAGCCCAGGCAAATAGTTTGACTCTATCTCAAAAATACCTAACACAAAAAAGGGCTGGCTCTGGTTAAAGCGGTACAGTACCTGCTTAGCAAGCATGAGTCCCAGAGTTCAAACCCCAGTGCTGACAAAAAATACAATAAAACCCCCAATACCCCGCCTGCTCCCTCCCCCCCACACAAGCCAGAGAGAAGCATGGAGGAGGGAGGAGAAACTTCTCTTACAGCTCTTCCTACCTCCTGTCTCATTTGTCACCTAGCCCCTCTGGGCAGTCCCTGCAGAAGTCAGCACACCCAAGGGGGCCCTCAGTGGAGGAAGCTCCTCTACTGGAGGCGCTAGGAGGCCATGCCAAAGGTGGCCCTCACCCAGGAAGAGGCTCATACACTGCAGGGTAAAGGTGGCTTGCGACTTTATGGTCACAGGACTGGGACACACACTGCTGTTGGACTGCTCTGGTTGGGAGACAGTCTGGGGACAGGTCATACCCAGAGGCCAACTCCTTGGCCACAGCCACCCACCCAGTCTCCTGCTCCTTTCTCACCCTGCCTATTCTGTGGCTACCTTCAAATGTATCCAGCATTCTCTTCCACCCTGGGGAACTTTCCTCTCAGCTGTCACATAGGTCCTTTTCCTGGTTCCTAATCACCTTCCCCTCCCTGCCTCATCCCAGCTCAGCAGCTAACACCGTTCAAATTCATATCAATCTGCCATTCCTTGGGACTTGCCTTTGCTGGGGCCTTCCACACCTTGGTCCATCTGGCCTCGCCTTTCCTCTGCCCAGTGCCCTCAGCAATTCTGGCTCCCTCTGCCCCAGCCACTGGGCCTCCCTGCTGTTCCAGAACAACCCTGGCCTGCTTCCACTTCAGGACCTTTCCCTGCTCCTAAAGAACCAGAACACAGAGGCAAGAACAGGCCCATCCTTCCCTGGAAGACCCAGCACAAAGCACACAGAAACCAGGCATTCTCCAGCATTTTATTTTGGTCTCAGACTCTGAGGAAGTTGCTCCTGGGATCCCCTGCTGACAGGACTCGAACAGTTATGGAAGGCCTTGTGCCAGGCAGGCAATGTGTGGCATGGTGGAGGACCCTCAGAGAAAATGCTACCTGAGCTTTCCTTGTGGGAACAGCTCTGCCTCCAGCCCACAATTCTGAAGTGCCAACAGCACAGGGCCGCTGAGTCCACTGCTCCGCAGGTGTCCCACCTATAATGGAAAGGCAACTGCCTGGCCTCACAGGGCAGGCACAGAAAACCCAGGCCAGGCTTGGCTGCCTTCCTGTGTTGTGTATGACCTAGTGACAAGAGGCTGCAGCCAGAATGGCAAGAGGCAGCCTGGGCTGCTCCTGCATCCCTCACCTACAGTGCCACAGGATCTCAGCAGGGGTTTCCTGCAGTGGACATCTCCACTTCTACTCTAACCTGAAGGGAGGCCCATGGTACTGTCCTGGGGACCACCCAACTGAGAAGACAGGCTCTGGTTCAGATGTACTTTAATCAGTGCCCCACCCTTCTCCAGCCTGGCCACTAACAAGCCCTGGCTGACTGCCCCACCCCCCCAGGCTTGGGCAGGCCATCCTCTAGTCACAGGAGCCGTCCTTCCAGCCATCACGCCATCGCTCATCCACTTTTGAGCAGTCGAAGTCAGGCTTGCCCAGCTTACGGTTCACCTCATTGTGCAGGCGGCACAGCCACTGGGAGAAGGATGCTCGAGTGCGAGTGTCCGGCTGGTTCCTGCCTATCCTGCATGGGAGGAGCAGAGGATGTAAAGAGGCAGTGTCTTCGCCATCTTCTGAGGGAGAGGAGCTGGGGCGCTGCTCTAAGGCACACCTGGGTGGACCCTCAAGCTCCACGGGACAGGAATACCAAGAGTAGGACAGACCCTGTGGTTTCCTGAGGGTGATGGACTCCCAAGGGCTGCTCACACACCCACCTGACAAACCCTGACAAGAGCCCAGGGCAAGACATTAAAGCATAAACCAGGCAACTTTACAACCTTATAATAATTAGGCAGCCTTGCCCAGCCTCTGGCCCCAGGCAGAATGCAGAGGGTGGGGCCAGGCACAACTACCTAACTGTTTCTTAGCACCTGAGGTCATGGTGCCCCAGTTCAGCAAAAGCCCTCATTCTAACTGTCCAGGCTTCAAATGGCATGGTAGCTCTGCCTATGGGAAACATGGAGTGTCTCAATGAAGAAAAGGTGGCTCTTTGGAGCAAAAGCAGTAGGTTCCCCTGTTCTTAAAGCCAGCAATCCAGAAAAGTGGAGTCTTGGCTAACCTGCCCAGAGGCCCCAAGAATGGTAAGCAAGGGAGATGACAAGGGATATATATCCTTTCTGGAAGACCCAGGCAGCTTGGCTGATATGACATCAACCTGCAGTCACAGCTTACCTCTTCCTTATGTCTTCAGCACACTCCTCACACGGATAAAATTTGGAAAATAAATGTATGAACTGTGTCATGTCTTGCTGCTGTTCTGGGGTGGGCAGGTCCGGATAGTAAGCGGCCAGGGTGTGGAGAAAAGCCCAGCTGTGACGGCCCAGTTCCTCTCGATCCTGTGGACAATCCTCCCTAAACTTGCTGTCCCTCTGCAGAAGTAGGCCGACCAAGGGTCAGTTCACTCTCCCCCAAACAGAAGCCCATAGAGTTCCCCCTTCGATGTAGGTCAGTGGCAGAGCGCTTGCATAGCATGCGCGAGGCCGCGGATTCGATCCCTAGCACCACATAAAACAAACAACAACAACAACCACAGCAAAAAGAAGAAAGAAAGGAAGCTCCCTCTTTCTCCGCCCCAGCAGCCCACTGAGTCGGGACAGAAGTCCTGCAGCCGATCCAGGCCGAGTGCGGCTGCAAGCTCAAAGTTCAAGGAACCTGGGGGTCGGGGGGGGGGGCAGGTTTGGACACAGAGGGCCGGGGCCCGGGGAGGCCTGCCCGGGACACCTGACGAGGTGTGCGGCGCAGGGCCGGGGCCGGGAGGTCGGGCGGGAGCGTGTCTGCACCTTCTGCTGCGTCCTCATCCACGTCTTGAAATCCACGCAGGCCCGGCAGGGCCGCCTCCGAGAGGCGCCCTCTGCGTCCTGCGGCTCCGAGGCCGGGGCCGGGGCCGGGGCCGGGGCGGCGGAGTCTCTGCGCCCCGCGCCGCGGCCCCGCGCGTCGGTCGCCAAGTCATCCGCCACCTCGGAGCGCACGCCGCCCGGCAGAAAAGAAAAGAGGCTGCCGCGAGAGAAGCGCGCCGGCTCGCCGGGGGCCGCCATCTTGCCCGCGCACAGCCTACCGGGCCAGGACGGCCTCCAGAGGGGCCTCCAGGTCGGCCTCCAGGCCAGCGCGCGCGCCGCCGCCAGCGCGCGCCCGCAGGAGCCGGGAGAGCGCTCCGGAGCCGGGCTCGTGCTGGCGCCGGAGGCGGTGCCTGGTGTCGGGGCGGGACCGGAGGCCGCAGCCCCGGCCCGGGTGGAGGCGGAGCGCGTGGCTGCGGGGCGGGTCGAGGCGGGACCGGAGGCCCGGGCCTGGCCGGGGGCGGTGCCGGAGGCCTGGGCGGGTGTGGCATCGGGGTCCGAGGCTCGGGCCCTCCTGGCGCCTTTGGCCCTCGTTGCCCGGGCCGGGCCCGCTGTGCGCCGTCCATGCGGACGCTCGCGCTTCCTCCAGTAGAAGAGCAGCGTGTTGTGGAAGACGCGCCGCGGCCGCGTTGAACCCTCGGGCTGAGACGAGGTCGGGGATGCGGCCCGGGTCGCCCCCATCGCTCCACTCGGACAGTCTCACGTGCCCGCGTCCGGGTTCTGTGCCCTCAACTGGGCGGCCAGGCCACCTGCCGACGCCATGGCAGCGCGGCGCTTGGCGTGACCGCATAGAGGCAGGTGCGCGTTAGGACCCAATGACCGTCTTTGTGACCGGCACCGTGGCAACCGGCCCTCTGTCAATGCGTGGCGGAGTCGCGGCATCAGAGGAGCCCCGCCTCCAATCCCATCTAGGCAGCAGCCTCAGAGATTTCCCCCTCCTCGTTTCATGGGTTCATTCATTCCTAAATGTGCAGTGGCTACTCTGCTCCCAGCACTGGGTCTCGCTTTGGGCAGAATAGGAAATGATTCTGTCCCTGACCTGACCTTAGCTTATAGTCCAGTCAGAGCTCAAGAAGAAAAAAGCCCAGTCGCTAATAAACGTTTACTTATAGACAGGTGGGATCCATGCAAAGGGTTTGAAAATAGGGAAGGTCTCTCTGATGAGGGAACCCTAGGCGGAATCCTGTAGGATGAGGTGCACCTTTGAGCCCAAGCCCAAGGTTAAAGGGTCTTGGCATTTTGCAGAAATAGGCCAGTGGAGCACCATTCTGGGAAGGGGGAATGGAGGGGAGATCCAGAGGTGGGTGTGGGCCCACCACGGACCTTGTCACCTGCTGTAGGAATCGGGATCTATTCTAAAAGCAGTGGGAAGGTGTTGGATGATGTAGGGATGGAGTACAATGATTCTATTTCTGTTCTGTAGATTCCTCTGGTTATCATAGGGAAAGTGGATTTCTTAGGAGCAAGTGAGGAACCCCTTGCCAAATCCACAGGGATGAGGCTGGGATTGTAGTTGTCCTGGTGAGAGAAGGGTAGGGGCTAAGGAGGAACAAGTGGGAAGGATTTTGGATTGGTAGGTTCCTCCTGATAGGTCTCTGTTAGTACTTAGTCCTTCTCCCTAACTTCTCTCCTGTCTTCCAGGATTTCTAGAAAAGCTGGTGAATAAGAACTAGCTGCTAAAGGCAAAAGGTGCTGAGAGACCAAGTCCAGGATTGCACAAAATACAATTTAGGGGCTTACAGACTGAAGTGTGTTCACTTTGGTGCAGGAGGAAGGGGTTTATATTGTAAGCTAGACAAAGGTGACCCATGGCCAATGGGCACATACCTGGGCTCTCTCAAAAACTTTGTCAAATGTCAGTTCCTGCCAGGAAACACTCAGCTGGCTTTTTTTCTTTTTTTTTTTTTTTTTTTCTGGTACTGGGGTTTGAACTCAGGGCCTACACCTTGAGCCACTCCACCAGCCCCTTTTGTGATGGGTTTTTTTCAAGATTGGGTCTCTTGAACTATTTGCCTGGGCTGGCTTTGATCTCTGCCTCCTGAGTAGCTAAGATTACAGGCATGAGCCCCCAGCGCCTGGCTCAGATATCTTAATGACTTTGTTTATCCTATTAGGTTTGGAATGTGTGCTAGGATTATCTGGCAAGCCATTGGAGGTTGCAACCAAAATGGCTGTATCCCCTATCATGTCAAGCTGGATCCCTACACAGGGGAGCAGGGTCTGTCCCACCCTGGACCTTGCCAAGCCAGAGGGGCCCTCAGGGTTGAGTTGGGGAGGGTAACAACTGGGTTAAAGACACTTTCCTAGTCATTTGTGTCAGCAGGTCAACAGTGGGGAATTTGGAGGGCTTCAGAGAGAGCCACTGGTGGGACATACAAAGAGGCTCTTTGTTGAGGTTGAGACAATTTCCTGGAGGGGATGCCCCAGAACCTGACCCCTCCAGACGGACTGGAGAAGAATCTTGATGCAGAATTGGTGGCCCCAGAACCAGGAACTGCCTTGCAGCAGGGTTGTTTGGGACTCCAAAAAAAAAAATCTCCACTATAAGGAAGCAGAGCACCAGGGCAAGCCCTCTGTCCAAGGCTTACAGTGCCTGCTCCACCCTAGGGATGGAATGGGTCACTCCTGACAGTAAAGGTTATGTTTGCAGGAAGTTGTGACAAATCACGTATCCAGAAGTATCTCTCAAAGCAGTCCTAGTGACCACCTTCCCAGACCTCAAGTGCCAATGACCAAAAAATGGATAGTTCCTCCTGCCCCATTTCTTCCCCCTGTAAGGGAACCCGTGAGGGAGGCTTTGCGGTCCAGCCCTCCCCCAGTTTGTCTAGAACATCACGGGAATTACCCACTTAACACAAATTTCCTCCTGTCTGACTTGGGGGTATAAGAGACTCTTTATTCCACATTAGGTTGAGAAAGCACTTGAAGTCATAAGCACCTGCAGAGGCCCCACAGAGTTCAGAGACAGCTGTAGGGCACACCCTGGCAAGGGGTTGTCGGGGATGGGGGGAGGAGAAGAGCCGAGAGAGGGGCCAGGTGAGGCGGCACTTTGATGAGTCTTCCTGCTCCTCGCTCTGGCCAGATTCAGGAGGGAGGCCCCGGGTAGTAGCAGTTTCAGCCCCTCCAGTGCCCTGCTTCAGGACAGACCCATACCTCCAGGACGGTCAGCTCTTCCCTCATCCCACCCACCCTGCCTTGGGCCCCCCAAGCCCCATGCTCCTGTGGTCAAGCTCTCTAGATCTTGTGCTTGGGGGCCAACCAGGAAACTGGGCCCCAAGGGTGTGGCTACTGTGCAGGACCTAGCTTGGGGCACTGTTGGGGAATTCCATTCAGTCCACTCTTCCGGCTGCTCAGAGTCCCATTAAGGGCAGGGACGCTGCAGGATCCTCTGTCACACTCCAGAATCACAGGACGCAGGAGGCCACAGTGATGGCAGGTCTGAGGCACCCAGTGTCGGTGTGTGCAGTGGCTCTAGTGCAGACGGAGAGGCTCCAAGTATGACCATACAGGGTTCCTGATGATCCCCAAGGGGGAGGAAAGGGGTGTCTGCCTATTCTCAATCAGGTGCCCCCAATGTTTTCTCGTGCAGACATTTGCCTTCTCCGTGCGCTGGTCGGACGGCAGTGACACCATCGTGCGCAGGAGCTGGGATGAGTTCAGGAAGTTCCAGGTAAGTGATCCTGGGGCCAACCTCCGACTGAGCAGTCCCAAACCTCCCCTCCCACCTCCCAACAAAGGCGGCAAGCCAGGCACCAGTGGCTAACACTTGTAATCCTAACTACTCAGGAGACAGAGATCAGGAGAATCAAGATTCGAGGCCAGCCAGGGAAAATAGTTATAAAGACCCTATCTCCAAAATACCGAACACACACACACACACACACAAAAAAGTGGCTCAAGTGGTAGAGCACCTGCCTAGCAAGTGTGAGGTCTTGAGTTCAAACCCCAGTACCACCAAAAAAAAAAAAAAAGGCTGCCTCTTAGTATGTCTCACTAATGACCCCCACCCCAGAGCCTCAATTTCTGCCCACGCGGGGCTTCCAGCCCCTAGTGCCCTGGAGAGACCCTTTCCTCCCCCGGGAGTTGGCTGGGCTCTCAGACAACCCACTTCTGCCCCTCAGAAAATCCTCAAGAGGAACTTCCCAGTGGAGGCGGGCCTGCTGCGACGATCTGACCGCATTCTCCCAAAGCTTCCAGGTCAGGCACCCCAGGGTCCCAGGAGGGGCAGGGAAGCAAAGCCCAACGGGGTGGGGGGTGGGGGACGACTGGGTCCACAGTGCATCTTCCTTGTGCCCACAGACATGCCGCTGCTAGTGCGCGGGGGGCGCACTGGCCGGGGCCTCGAGCGCCTGCGGCTGCTGGACACCTACGCACGGGCATTGCTGGCAACCTCTGATCGAGTGTCACAGAGCCCCATGCTCACTGGCTTCTTTGCACCCCAACCTCTGGACTTGGAGCCTGCGCTGCCTCCTGGCAGGTGCTTCACTCACACACCCTTACTCCCAGCTCTCCTCACTTGTTGGCAGGGCTGATGAGCAGGAGCAGATTGGGAGACTGGAACAATTTGTGGGGGCACAGGCCCCTTTTCGCCCACCTACTCACGTCTCACCTGCTGTCCCTCCCAGCCTAGTGATCCTGCCTGCCCCTGAGGAACCCTCATCCCGCCCTGCAGAGAGCCCTGCCATCCACAGCCTGGAGGCTCAGAGCCTGCGCTGCTTGCGACCCTTCCACACCCAGGACACGCGGGGCAGGTCTTTCCACACACGGGCCCAGGAAAGCCTGGATGTGCTGCTGCGACACCCCTCGGGTAGGGTCACCAAGACAGGAACCCAGGGACTTGACTTTTAGCTCCCAATAGGAGCGTGCCACAGGATGTGAGCCCCTTCTTCATTTTACACAGGCTGGTGGCTGGTGGCAAACAAGGACCAGCAGACAGCCTGGTTTCCAGCTCCCTACCTGGAGATAGCACCAGGCCAGAGCCAGGAGGCGGGCATGGCTCTGGGGAGCAGTGGTATGAGTTTAACCCCCACCCCAGGCCCACCACTAGCACGGACCTTGTGATAACAAGATTGGGCCACAGGAACCACACACATCTGGAGGGGGTGATGGCAGGGGCCTAGAGCGTGTGCTAGGTGCCCACATGACAGGGATGCCCAAGTGGGTTTAAGAGTGGTCCTGGTAGCCAAGAGCATTGAGCCCATACAAAGGTGGGAACACTGGTGACCTCCAAACACCCATTCCAGGGACTCAGTTCTGTGCTTCTCGGGCCTACGAGAGTAGCCGTGCAGATGAGCTGTCAGTTCCTGCAGGGGCGCGTGTGCGCGTGTTGGAAACCTCGGACCGGGGCTGGTGGCTGTGCAGGTGCGTGGGGCGGAGTTGTGGCAGGCCCAGCCTGGGGGAGGAGCATGGGGCAACAGCTAGATCCCTGACCAAGCCCTGCCTTCCTTGCAGGTATGGTGGCCGGACGGGTCTGCTCCCTGCAGTGCTCCTGCAGCCGGAAGGGCTGGGTGCACTCCTAAGCGGGCCAGGGATCCTCGGTGGGGAGGACCAGGCGGATGAGGTCAGGGTTGCTCGGCCAGCAGTGCCCGCCCGCCCCAAGCCGAGTGCCATCCAGAGTCGCTGCTGTACCATCACCCGCAAGGCCCTTCAGAGGGACCCTGGGCAGTGGGGGCCCCCTTGAGTGTGTGTGCAGTCCTGCAAGGAGGCCGTGCTGTGCACCCCGACCACAGGCAGAGGATCCAGACCCAAGGGACCACCTGTGGTGGCTGCACCTTCCCAGGGTTGGGAGAACAGATGAGGGTGGGACTCCCTGGCTGGCAGGGCCAGGAGGCAGCAATGTCCCATTTCCTCTGAATAAAACTTCTGAATGACCCGAGTCTCACTGTGTTGTCAGGGACTGTGAGGCCTCCTGCCAGGCTGGAGCAGTGGTGGGCTGGGCATTGAGACCAGACACATCCTAGGTGGTCAAGGGTCCTTCGGGGAGATTTCCCACATCTACACAAGGAGCCAGCATTTTTAGAAAACTACACCTTTATGTGTCTGTGAGGGCTGCAGGGGCAGCAGGGATAGGGGACAGCTTCATGTTGTGCCACAGGAAGTCCAAGAAGGTGGCTGCCTGCAGCATCCGGCTGAGCCGCTGAAAGTGGCGTTCTGGGGGAAGGCACAGGATGGTCAGAGGTCCATGTACCCACTAGGTTGCTCCCTGCCCAGGCTGTGCCCACATACCAGTGTAGGGCAGCAGGGCCTCCAGTGCAGCCCGCACACCCGCGTAGGCCAGTAGTTCCTCAGGAGCCTCATGCCGCAGCAGCACACCCAGCACGGCCTGGGCCTCATGGCAATGCCGGGAGTTGGTGTTCCATATGACACAGAAGCGCAGCAGGGCCTCTGTGGGCAACATGGGGTTTACCATGCCTGCTGGGCTATCTCACCCTGTTTCCCTCCCGCTGGCTCCCGAGCCTGCCCAGGACCTTTCTGGTCTCGCCGCAGTCGAAGCACAGTGGCTTCTAGCTTCTTGCAGGCCTCAGGGTCCCTCCGGATAGCTGTGGGAGGGAAGTCTGATTGAGCTCGAGGAAGGGGTTTGATAGTCCCCGAACCCCCACCCCAAGTCTGCTCCTGGAGCAGGCACTCACCCTGTATAACAGTCAGCACAGTGTGGGGCCGATCCAGGGAGATGGCCAGGCCTAGTGCCCTCAGGTATCGCTTCTCATGGAGCAGGTTGTCCAGTTCCTGCTGCCTGGAGGGGAAGAAGGACAGGGCTATCAGGGACCCTTATCTGGGCTGAAGGCAGCTCTGTTGGCCTGAGCCTGCACACACCTACTGGAGTTAAGCCCCGCCCAGCCTGTTTCCTTATGCTGCAAAACCAGCGGCATGCAAAGGGGTACTGCTGCTGAGCCCAGGCTTACTTGACCACCTGCTCTTCCCGCTTGGCCTGCTCCTCTGCCTGCTCAGCCTCGGTCACATCCTGGGATCAGACTTGGGTCAGACAGGCACCAACCTTGTCTCCCCCTCCCCCACCCCTCCCTCTCCCTTCAGAGCCCACAACCTTCCAGAGAATGACCCGGGAGTCACTGCCGCCAGTGAGGGCATGGTCATCCAGTCGGCTGCAGTGCAGACCCCAGACCTTGTCGTCATGGGCGTCCAGTGTCCGCACACACTCGTTGTTTTTGATAGTCCAAAGTTTCACAAGCCCGTCAGAGCCACTGGGTTTGCAAGTGGGAGGGACTCAGTGTGGGAGCTTGCCCCCACTGGATACCCCTCCCACATGCCACCAGTTCACTCACCTGGAAAGCAGCTGTGTGCCACGGCTCACGAAGGCCACTTTTAATACCGAAGCATCATGCCCCTCAAATGTCTGTGGAGGCAGGAGAGGTGAAGGGTGTGAGATGGCATCAGGTGGGAGGACTAGGACCAGAGGATGCTGCTTACCTTGAGACAGCTGAAGTCCTGCAGTGCCCAGAGCTTGATGGTGCCATCAGCAGAGGCAGTGGCTAACACTTGGTCCATGGGCGAGAACTGGACACACCAGAGGCCACGTCGGTGGCCTGAGAAAACACCCAGCAGCTGGCACTGCGGTAGGGCCCAGAGCTTAGCTGTACGATCCTGTGAGCCTGTAGCCAGCAGCTTGTCATTGGGGGAAACAGCCAGACTGTTGACGTCCTGGTGACGGAAGCAGGTAGCAACTCAGACCCCTATCCTAGCAAGGGCTCAACTATACTCCCACCCCAGGGGTCAGATGTGGTCACTTTGTCATGGCAGCGCTGGGTGGTCTGGGCCTGCAGGAGAGTGGGGCTACTGTCTGGGGTCATGCCCTTGGATAGCAGGGCTTCAGGAAGTGGCCACAGCTTCACAGTGCAGTCCTGGCTGCTTGTCACTAGGAAGGACTCCTTCAGCCTGCAGAATGACCACAGAGAGGGAGACACTGCTGAGGCCCAGATGGCACTGTCTGCCAGCACACCACAGAGGCTGCCCCAGGATGAAGACTGGCATGTGTTACCCCCACATGCCTCTAATCCTCTGCCTGCACTGTCACCCTCAGTGCCACTATGCCCAGCAAACTGATCCCAACCATGGGACCCCAGCCCTAAGTGCAGGGAATACCTTCTCTGACTTATTCAGTGTCTTTGCCTCTACCCCAATGCCCTTTCCTCTTTGTCCACCTTACTCTAAGGCCACTTCTGAAGAATCCTTTCATGGCAGCTGGGGTTCTCTGTTCCACATTCCTTGGCTGGAGCCTCAAAGAGTGGCCAAAGCCATCACCACCTCCTCCTCCCCACTGCTCCCCCCACCAAGCTAGAACCCTATTAGTGTGCTTGAGCTTCTACCTCCTGACCCCCCTGGATCCAGCCCTGACCTGTTACCTAGAGCAGCAGATGGTGCCTACACTGTGTGTGTGCCCAGAGCCCTGAGCCACACAGGCCACCTGGCCAACCTTATTCATCCTCCAGATCCGGATGCTCTGATCCTGGGGAGAGGAGGGGTTGAGGAGAGACAATGGGCCATAGACCCATTGCCTTGGCTTCCCCACCTGAGAGGTGTGTACTTTCATCCTTCTCATAGGACCTCACCTTGGCACAGCTGGCAAAGAGCCACCCCTTCCGGAACACATCTAGGGCCAGGACAATGTCTGGAAGGGAGAGGACAGGGGTCAGTGTAGCAAGCTGGTAGGAAGGAGGGGGCAATCAAGTTCCAGGCAAGGCCCCAGGGTGTCAGCAGGCTTCACTTGCCTGTGTGGCCATGGAGGATCTGGCAGGCTGATGTCTGCAGCTCAAACACTTTGAGGCAGGGGCTGTTGGAAGCCACAACTATGTGGGAGTCCTTGGGCCCAAGGAACCGGACGTCCAATACCTCCTCACTGTAGCCAGCAAACTGTGGTGGCAGGAAGTCAGAGCTAGGGCCTGTGTAAATGGAAGGCTATGCCCCCAGTCCTGGGCTGGGAAGGGGTAGGTGCTCACCTGTTTTTGCAGCTGCAGGGAGCATGCCTCATAGAGCAGGAGGTTGTGGTCGGCGGTGACACTGAGCAGGATGCCGGCGGTGTGAGTCAGGGCACAGTGGGTCAGTTCCTGTCCTGGGCCTGGAAGCCTTGGCTGGGTGTACACACACTGCCCAGAAGCTGCCTCCCACACACGCAGGATCCCTGTGTGAGGACAGGGGCTGTTAGGACTCACAGGCTTACCTTAGCTCTTGTGCACAGCCCAAGAGCCCAAGAGCTCTGTGGCCAGCCCTATATACCTTGGTCACCAGCTGTCAAGAAGTGCAGGCCTGAGTTCTTCACACCCAGTGCAGGTGCTGGCTCCTCAGGCAACAGCACAGCAGCCTCCACGCTCTGGGGAGGACAAGGCAACACTTGACACCTGCTACACAGCCCCTGCTTGCCCCACCACCCTACCAGTCCCTTGGGTCTGGTACCTGTGCTTTCCCACCCTTGTAGAAAGGCTCAATCTTGCGCTCCACAGCATAGCTGGAAAGAGAACAGGAATGAGCGAATCACCTAACCCCTGTGCTGGGTGCTCTCCCAGAAGTGAGCTCAATACCTCTGCAGAGTGCCTGGGCAGCAGCAGGGACCCAGGGGGACAACTAGCAGCCCTGAGTGTGGGTGATGCTACCCCTTATGTTACAGAGAGGTTAAGACCTGGAGCTGATTAATGATCTACACTGGGTCCTCCAGTGTTAAGAAGTGGGCCTGAATCAGGCTACCCAACAGCTCAGTCTTCAGACTGGGGGCTGCCTGCTGACTGTGGGAGGTCAGGCCTAGTACTCCCCCCTCCCCACTCTGGTTCCCTCCTCCAGCCTTGGCCTCACCTGATCCCACTCCCCAAGCAGTTGTCCTTTCTGCAACCTGACTCACTCTCTTCTCCTTCCTCCACCTTAGTCCAGGTCCTTGCAGAGGTCTCCTCTGGATGGTGTTTCACTTCTTTACTGGGTGCCCTACCTACTGCTTGCCACTTAGCTTTTAGAGCAAATGACCATGTTACTGGCCTCTCCTTACATGCCTCCAAGACCTTGTGCCCACCTTCCTTCCCGCTCATGCCCCACACTGCATATCATTCCTTCTGGCCCAGCCCCTGCCACAGGTCTTTTCCCTGTGCCATAAGTTAAAACACATATAGGGCACAGGCATAAGGGTCTCTGGGTCTCTCTTCCCAGATTCCAATGACTGGTTCACTCCACTCCCCAGAAGCCTGCCAGCCAAGACAGGATCAGCCCTCCAAGAGAGATGCAGTCAGCTCCCAGCTTCTTTTTGTCACTGCTTGTCACAATCCAAAGTTACTCAAGGACTAACGGAAGTGACTTTTAACCCGTGAGGTTGTGCACATATGGGAGCTGAGTTTGTTCCCACCCAGGCACTAACCACGAGCTGTCCAGCTGAGGACTGAATGAGCACAGGATTCAATGTCCCCTGGACCACTGCGGACCCACCCATCTCCTGACTTCTCTGGAGAGGCGGGACAGCCGGTGAGAGCTCCCCAGGCCTTCTGCCACAGTTGTTTCTTGGACTCCCGTCACAATCCAGTCCCGATTTGTGCTCAACTAGTTCCCTTCCCCTTCCTCTGGGGTTTCTCGTCCCCACTCCACGTCCCTAAAATCGGTTCCTTGTCTCAGTACCGACGCTTGCTGCGTCTTTGCGGGGCCAGACTCCGTTCCGCCCTCCCCGGCAGCAGTCGGTGCCGGCTCTCCAGCCTCCTATAACCGCGGCCTAGTCCAGGATCCCGCAGACCGGGTATCTTCCCTCATCCGAAAGGGTGCTCAACCCACGGCCAGCATTGCTCCACGCGCACCCCGGACGCCTCCGTTACTACGGCAGCGAACCCGTCCTCCTCCCCAGGCGGTGCCCGCAGCCCCGACAGCCCGAACTCACTTAGCCTTGAAGCTGCCCACTCTGGCCGCAGTCTCAGCCATGCCGCAGCCGACACAGCAGCCGCCTCGTGACGGTAACCGGCGCGGAGCTCCACACTCTCGGCACGCAGAGATGATGTCACCAACAGCGACTACTGTTACGTCATCAGAACATGCGCCCTGGGCGCCATCTTTGTTACGGGTAGTGGCTGTTTCTGACTTGGATGGTGGGATGTAGCCCTGGCCAATGGGTGCAGGCTAGGCTGGCAGGCGGTCTTCCTCTCCTCGTCCGACTTCTTCTCCCCGTCCCCCCCAAGTCAAACTATTTTTTTTTTTTTTTTTTTGGAGACAGGGTCTCGATATGGAGCCCTGATTGACCTTGAATTTGTGATCCTCCTGCATCAGCCTTCCTGGTACTGGAATTATATTTTAAAGAAAGTTTGTCTTGGTTTTGGTGGAGACTGGGTTTTGAACTCAGGGCTTCGCGCTTGGAAAGCAGGTGCTCTACCGCCTGATTCATACCTCCAGCCCATTTATTTTTGGAGATGGGGAACTATTGCTTGAGCTATTTGCTTGGGCTGGTCTCAGCCTCCCAAGTAGCTGGGATTACAGGTGTGCAGCCACTAGCGCCCTGCTCTTTTTTTTTTTGGCGGCACTGGAATTTGAACTCATGGCTCACGGTTGCTACTCTGACAGCCCTTTTTTTGTGATGGGTTTCTGAGATAGGAGCTAGTTAACGATTTGCCTGGACTGGCTTCAATCATCCATCCTTCTGATCTCTGCCTCCTGAGTAGCTAGGATTACAGGCATGAGCCACCGGGGTGCCGAGCCTCTTAACGCAAGTTTTTGTTAAAGACATTTGGAAGTGTTTGCTTCTACCCCTCAGCCTCTTGGGGCTTGGAGGCAGCCACGGTGGGGTAATCAGTGACTGGATTAAGTCATGAACTATCTCTGTATGGAACCTATCTCTGTATGGGCCATAGTCCCATGTGAGAAATACATCAATGAATAAATTTCAGTTGGGCATGGGTAGCTCATGCCTGTAATCCTAGCTACTCAAGAGGCAGAGATCAGGAGGATAGTGGTTAGAAGCCAGCCTGGGCAAATAGTTCTCAAGACCCTATCTCGAAAAAACCCTATCACAAAAAAATTGGGCTGGTGGAGTGGCTCAAGGCGAAGGCCCTGACACCATGCAACAAAAAAAAAATCTCATCTCTTGCTCACTTTCCAGGAGGCAGCAGAGGGTGAGAGGTAATCAGACTATATGATTGTGGAAATGCAGATCACCAGGGAAGAGGCCCAGGGCAGGAGGTACAGGTTTAAATGGAGTTGTGAAGGAGGCTTCTTTGAGAAGGCAACACATGAGCAACTGAAGTGAATGGAGTCCTGTGGTTTTCTAGAAGTTCTGCTCAGGCTGAAGGACAGCCACTGGCCCAGACCCACAGAGACAGGTAGCTACAGAGAATTCAGGTTCCTTGTGAGCCATTACCAGGAGTTGGTTTTTACTCTGTGTTCAAGCTTTTGAGCTGTTTGTGCTACTGGTCATGAAACTGGTAAAACAGATTGGAGGAACAAGTGGAAGAAGAGACATTAAGAGGAAAAAAGCAAGCAAGCAAGCAAATGGAAAGGAAGGAAAGAGCTTTCCAGAACTATTCAGTGTTAAGACCCAGTAGAGGAAAGAATTTAAAAGCTGGGGGATAAAAGGTAAAGTGGGTGTGTAAGGGGGAGACGTGCCTGGGGAAGTTCACAGGGGCAGCAAATGTGACAGTGCACTAGACCAGCAGGCACAGAGGTGGTGAGGTGGGCCTGGCCTGGGCTCCGCATTTATTTAACCCTCTATTTACACCTCCGTCACAACACTGCCCTCTAGAATGGTCTCGGCCTCGTCCTGCGCGGCACCCAGGAAGTTTCCGAGCTGGGCCAGCTGCCTGCGGATGAGGTTGGTGGTGCGATGCACCCGGCGCACATGCCGCAGCAGGCTCAGCACCAGGTTACCGCTGCGCTCCTGGCGCGCGCTCCAGGTATTGCGCAGCTCATGGTGGCAATTACGGTGTGCACGCTCAGCCAGGCCCAGGACGCAGCGCTGCTCCCCACCTTGTTGACAGTGTTGGCGGTGCTCAGCCAGGGCTCCACGGGGCACCCGCACAGTGCAGCCCTCGTTGGGGCAGGTCATCTGCTCGAATGGGCAGGCATCCTGGTGCCCCTTGCGATGGGCCAGGGGGCATGTCACCAAGCAGCCAGCCTCTGCGTTCTTGCACTGTGGGTGCAAGAAACCTCCATGTGAGCTAAACCAGGTCAGGCATTGCCAGCTGGGCACCCCACAGAATCCCCAATTTTATGACATTCCACTGATCAGGAATCTGTGAACTGAGTAACTCCTAAGCTTTTTTGACTCCTTGAGAACAGCTGAGGAAATTCTTGGATGTGGGAAGATGTTAAATTTTCCAGGATAGGGAGCAGACCTAAGTCTTGGAGAATAGGGAAGGCCTAGCTGGGTTGGTCTGTTAAGTGATTGGTGTTTGTAAAGCTTTTTATTTTAAATGCCTAGTCTCATCTGTGAAGTGAAGGGCCTGAAGAGTGCTGCTCAGATACCAAACACTTCTTCCTTTAAAATTCATCTATAATTCTCATTTAACAGCTGAAGCCCCAGGGACTCAGCAAATAAAACAGTAGAGCTGTGACTCAAACTCAGCTAGGCCTGCTGCCCAGGGGCTCCATGTGAATCTCGGAAGAATGGATTCTCCTTGCCCCCTCTCCTGTTTCTGCCCAACCCCAGACGGGTGGTGGGAAGGGATGCTCAGAGCTACCTTGACTTCTAGACGGCCAATGGTTTTCCGGAGCTTATTCACGTGGACCATCTTTTTCCTTTTCACCTCTTTCCTGCAGCATGGACAGGTGTTTTGTCTGGAAGGAGGCACAAGTGGGAGGGAGTGTTGGGGTAGAAAAGGGGCAAGCAGAGGTGACAGGTTTCCCAGGTGGTCCCTTCTTTCCAGCTGGAGACATGAGGGTCCTCTAGGGAGCTCATGGTCCTTAGGGGCTTCTAAGGACTGTAGACAGACACCACAGGGTGAGAGGACCCAACTTCAGTGTCCCATGTTTTACAGCTCAGTCTTATGGCCACTGGGACCCAGAGTCCGACAAACATGCCCATTCTGGGTCATCAGAAATGGCCTAAGCTCCCCCCGCTGCCCTCTCAGCCCCCTGGGTATCCAGCAGCACCTGGCTAACCACTGGAGTATGCACTTTTTGCAGAAGATGTGGCTGCATGGCAACCTCACTGGCCTCTTGAGAACCCCATGGCAGACGGAGCAGAGGAAGTTGCAGTCAGGAGGGCTGGTGAAGAGGTTGAGATCATACCCGCCACTCTGCAAAGGCCAAGCCTGCATCAGGATCTCGCTGGGATCAGGCTCCAGCCCCTACTCCATTCATACCCAGCAATTTTGAGTGGGGAGGTAGGCCACAGGAGAGCCCAAAGTAGAGGGCTTGAGTCAGCACCCACTTTTAGGGAGAAGATTTAGGGGTTAAGACTTCTCCAGGATTGCCAGTCCCTCGCTGGATAAAGTGAAATTGCCCTAAATTAGACCCAGCTACGGCCTTCTGAAAGGTTTCTTCATTCAACCCATACAGGGATCAATCCTTTCTCAGAGCGGGATCCATTCCTGTCAGCAGCATAGGTTACCTGCAGCCGGGAACAAATCTCAGGGCAGGACTTACCATGATCTGTATCTGGACGGCAACTCCACTGCTGCCCAGGGCTCAGGAGCCTCCATTTCACAGCAGGGGTGGGCCGACATCACAGAGGCATTGTCCAGCTCAGGCCAATCACAGCTGTAGTCCAGGGCCCACTGGGACCCTGAAGCCATTTAACCCTTGCTGCCCTCTAATGGCAGGCAGTATCTAGACTGGTCCATGTTCCCCCGTTCCTGCTTTGGCTGTGGCTGACCCGTGACCACCAACCAGCACTGGGCAGGGAACCAAGGTTCTAGGGGCTGTTTCCCCAAGGCCAACAAGATCATAGGGACTTCGGTCCTTCCAGATAGTGTCAGCCAGGTGGCCAGGTCTTCAGTAGCCTTAGGGATTTAGAAATCAATCCATGGGTTTTCTTCACTAACAGCCATGATTAAGTACTAGCTCCAGATGCAACTTGCTGCCCCACAGCAGAAGGCTCAGCTTGTTGGAAAAGTCCCTCAGAGCAGGTCTGCCACCTGGAGACTTTGAGAAAGTGCGTTGTGGAGGGGGGTGGGGATCCAGCCTGGTGATAGACGTTCTTGCAGGCTCAGCCATCATTGGGAAGCAAGTTCACCCAAACCTATGCAGTCAAAACTTAAACCCGACCCTGCAATGACAGCAGCAGGAAGCCACTGAAAACTCAGCTCTTAATTTCCACTCTTGCTACTGGTTTGGGGGCCTGACCTGGGCCACGGATAAGCAGACCAGGTTTCCCAAGCCTGGCTAAGACTTGTTGTCAAGCTCCCAAGTGGCTCTCCCTACCAGAGCCAGAACAAATGCTATGTTTCCAGGCAGGGAGGACGGGCAGGACTTGACCAACATACACGCGGTTAAACAGTTTTAATTGAAATGTAAGGATAACCGAGCTCTTCTACCCCCGCAGTCCTGGAGGCGTCAGCATCCGGCTCGGGGCGACCTGCGGAAAGAAAACGGGGTCAGGAGTCGGAGACCAGAGGCCAGACCGCGAGCAGCTGCGCCAGGGCTTGTCGGGGTCTGGGTTTCACTGTCCCACACTGGATCAGTGGGTGGTGAGCTGAGGCCCCTGGAGGCTCTGGGCGCCGAATCTCACCCACGGCCACGGCCAAAGCCGGGGATGATTTTCAACGAACGCCAGTCCCCCTCTCCCCCCAGGTCACCAGTGGGACCCACATACCTAAGAAGAAGACAAGTGACGAGCATCTGTACTAACAGCAAGAACAGCCAGGCAAGCGCGCATATTTATAGCGACCTCCTCCCGCCCCGGCCGCGGCGAGGGCAGATGCGCAGGCGCCCGCAGAGCGTGAACCGAAGAGCCAATCACAGCAGCCTCTGGATGCTCGCGCGGGGCAGCCGAGATCTCGCGGCGCTTGGAAGACTATAAAAACTTTCTCCGGGCGGTGCTCGTTCTTCTTTCTCCGGAAAAAACACGTGAGTTGGTTCTGTAGTGGCGGTGGCTTGCTGTTTGGGCGGCGGGAATCCGCAGACATCGGGCAAGGGCTGGGTCTGGGCGGCTGCAGAAGCCAAGGCCCCGCTGACTGGTTGGCTCTTGTCGTTTTCCATAGCAAATGGCGGATGACGCCGGTGCAGCGGGAGGGCCTGGAGGCCCCGGGGGCCCAGGCATTGGAGGCCGCGGCGGCTTCCGTGGAGGCTTCGGCAGTGGCCTCCGGGGCCGCGGTCGCGGCCGTGGTCGGGGTCGTGGTCGGGGCCGCGGGGCTCGTGGAGGCAAGGCCGAAGATAAGGAGGTAGGTTCTGGTAGCATGTGGGACCGGTCTGGGGCGGTGCTGCGGAGGCGGTCCTAATGACCGGTGCCTTTCCCTACAGTGGATCCCTGTCACCAAGCTGGGCCGTCTGGTCAAGGACATGAAGATCAAGTCTTTGGAGGAGATCTATCTTTTTTCCCTGCCCATCAAGGTACTGCTGCATCAGCCAGCCTCAAAGAGTACCGTTTGCGCGGTGACATTACAGGGACGGGTCCAATGTCTATTAGAGGGACTATGCATGGGCGTGCACCTGCGACATCGGTTATTGCGTGGGGTCTAGGAGAGACGGTTATTTCTACTTACTGCTAGGAAGCCTGGTGAGGGAGGGTTCACCGCAGTTCCCTACTGGCTTTTTAAGTTTTTTACTTAACGTTGTCAAACCTGGTTTCTTGTAGGAGTCTGAGATTATTGACTTTTTCCTGGGGGCGTCCCTCAAGGATGAGGTCTTGAAGATCATGCCTGTGCAGAAGCAGACTCGGGCTGGCCAACGCACCAGGTTTAAGGTATCAGCGATTCTGTGCAAGCAGGGCTGGATGATACTCTCTCATTCTGCATAGTTGCACTAGGTCTCATCCGTGTGACTTTCGTACAGGGAGAGAGAGAAAAGAGCTCCTTAGGACCATGGATTGGCCTCACAGTGGCCACTCTTGCCTAGAAGGGCACAACAGGCTTTGGCCAGTGTGTGTACCACTGTCGTGGAGGATTATCTGCCATTTTACACATGTCTCTTCACAGGCATTTGTAGCCATTGGGGACTACAATGGTCATGTCGGGCTGGGTGTTAAGTGTTCCAAGGAGGTAGCCACTGCCATCCGAGGTGCCATCATCTTGGCCAAACTCTCCATTGTCCCTGTGCGGAGAGGCTACTGGGGGAACAAGATTGGCAAGCCTCATACTGTCCCATGCAAGGTAGGCTAAGTAGTGGTGAGTAGACTTCTAATGAAGCCACTGCTTACTGACCCTGTCTTCCTGACTGTCTCCTGATTTTTCCCAGGTGACAGGCCGCTGTGGTTCTGTGCTGGTGCGCCTCATCCCTGCCCCCAGGGGCACTGGCATCGTGTCGGCTCCTGTGCCCAAGAAGCTACTGATGATGGCTGGTATTGATGACTGCTATACTTCAGCCAGGGGCTGCACTGCCACCCTGGGCAACTTTGGTAGGTGGCACACACAAGGATGAACCATGGCCTCTCTCAGCTCCGCTCGATCACACAGTCTCAGTGTGTGTTTGGCGTATTTTAAGGGAGAGAGAGGAAGGCCCTCCTAATGCACGGCAGACCTGCCCTAAAGTGGCCTCTCTGTTCCTAGGAGTGCAACAGCTTCTGGCCTGGGGGTAGGTACCCTAAGTCTGACCACCAACCCTTCCAATTATTCTGTAGCTAAGGCCACCTTTGATGCCATCTCCAAGACCTACAGCTACTTGACCCCCGACCTCTGGAAAGAGACCGTGTTCACCAAGTCTCCCTATCAGGTACTGCTGGTCCAGCCAGTGGGATTGTCTTTGGCCCAACGTTGTGGCCAGACTCTCATGCCTAAGCAAGTGTGCTACAAAGCTCCATTTGTCTTTTTAGGAATTCACTGACCATCTTGTGAAAACCCATACCAGAGTGTCTGTGCAGAGGACCCAGGCTCCAGCTGTGGCTACAACATAGGATTTTTTTAAAAATATGAAAATAATAAAAGTGAATTAACCCTGTTAATGGTTGTCTTTGCCTGTCTAATGGCCAGTCAGTAGTGGCTTAAATCTGGAAAAGGGTTGACACAGGAAATGAGAAACACAGGCAGGTCATATCAACTTTATTTCGGCAATAAGATGAGTCACAAGTTCTCATGACAGTCTCAGATAGCAGCAGCCTCCTTAGCAGTCTTTCTCTCCTCCAGCATCCTCTGCTTCTGTTTTGCCAGGCATTTTCTGGCAGAACAATGAGCACCCAGGTCATGATCTGGGAAGGAGACGGAGAAGAGGACTTGTCACTTCTACCATGAAAGAGTCTTGAGTCCCAGGTCTAAGGAAATCAAGTGGCTAGTAAAAATAAGCTGAAGACAAAGACAGTGAGTGGCTCTCCTAATTGGTCTTTGAGCAGTGAAGGCAACACGGCCCACAGCTGGGTGGTGGCACTGGGGCAGGATTAACTCACAGCGGTCATGATAGGCTTTGGCCACCTTGGTGAACTGCTCCAGTTCCTTAGCACAGTTTTGCTTGTAGCTCTCTCCTTCCCTCTGCTGACAGGCCTTAAGCCGCTCCTGGATGATGTTGACAATTTCTTGGTCAACTTTGCTGAAAGAAAAAAGAGGCTGGCTTCAAGGAAAGGACTGGCCTGTCTCATTCCCAGGTATACAGGGCAGGTCTCAGCACTGCTTGCTGCTCACTTACTAGTCCCTCCTCCATTGCATTTCTGCTTCAAACATGCACAGGATGTCCTTCTCCTTGCACTCTGTGATGTCGGGCACACGGCGGAACTCACGGTGATAGTAATAGTACCTGTTCTTGGCGTGCTGCCGCTCTATAAACTCTGCAAAGAGGAAACCCACTCAATCCACGGGTTAGCTTTGGGAGTAGATTGCCTAAAATGTTCTAAGCTTATACAGAAACAGGTAGTGTGCAGGCCAGCATAATCTTGTGAAGAACATGGTGAAGTCCACTGCCTCAGTTCCGGCTGCAGTATTTCCCCTTGTGCTCCCAATAACCCTGCAGGGCAGATCCTCATTCACAGAAGGGACAGAGACTAAGAAGCAGGTGGGGAGTTGCAGGCTTTGGGACCCAGCTCTGCAAGCCCATCTATCCTACAGCACAGGAATCCCACTATGTAGGCGAGGAGTCCCTATTAGCAAGCCACCTCCAGAACTGGTCTGATCTTCCAGCCTCAGGTTCCCAACTGGCAAATTAACTAGCTGGACTAAGATTTCATGCATTCAGATAGAAGACACTTGTAAACCATTGCAAGAAAGGGAGTTGGCTCCACTGCTGTACCACACCTGACCCTTGGAGGTCTGGTTTGTATACTTAATCCCTTCTAACCAAAGAACTACCCGTAAGTCAGCAGTGCCTGTAGGCTAAGGATTTTCTAGAGCTCAGGAGTTGGGGGACCAGCCTGGGCAATTCAACAAAAAGAAACCACCAGTAACCAGCACAGGGAAGGAAAAAACAAAAAGCAAAGAGCGTTCTGAGCATGCTAGGCACCCCAAATGTTCTGTTCTTGAACGAATAAGCTGCCTAATGGAATAGATGCAGTGCCTGGCACTGTGACTAAGGACACAGCACACCCTTGCTGCTGCCCAGGGCGCTGGCAATACGGGTCACCAGTGGCTGCATGAAGCATTCTCTGGAACAGAGATGGGGAGTTTGGGTATTTCCTCCAGCCCTCACTCTGCGTATGAGGAACAGTAGCCCAGGGCTGGCGGAGTGGCTCAAGTGGTAGAGCTGCTGCCTAGCAAGCGTGAGGTCCTGAGTTCAAACCCCAGTGCCGCGAAAAAAAAAAAAACCAAAAACCAAAAAAACCAGTAGCTCAAGGAGGGCCAATGACCATCCTAAAAATATGCAAACGAGCATCCGTTCATTTCCATGCACTCTGTTGAGTTGAGCATCTACTGTGCACATCCAGTAGATGTAGATGTGCCTCGCAGGAGACTAGGGTCCTAACCCCCATAATGTTTAAGACGGGTTAGGGAGTCCCAGGAAGAGGCGAAGGGGCGCGGGGTGCAGTGGGGTCGCCAAAAGAAATGACAGTTCATGGGGGCGCAGGTACAGGTCCCAGAGGACTGCGGCAGAGTGGTCAAAGGAGCTCCGGGGCCTTCGGGTGGGGCAGAGGCGTGGAGTAGGGGGTGGTCCCGGGTGGGGGGCGACGGGACGCGGGGAGCTGAGAGGACTGCGGGTCTCCGCAGGGCAAGCGGAATCCCGGGCCCATACCTCTCACTAGGGTCACGGGCCAGTCCACGACGAGGTCGAAGGCCTTCGTTAAGTAGGTGATTGGATTGGGCAGCGAGGTCTGCGGAGTGCGGCGCGGGGGCTCGGGGTACACGTCCTTGTCCCAGGAATCCGGCATGGCTGCGGCGGGCGTGAACAGGAGGGGCGCGCTGCCGGTATCGGATTCCCGCGGCGTCCCGGCCCCTCGCCCTGCAGAGGACGCCGGGGCCACTGCGCCTGCGCGGAGGAGCGGTTACTGCGCCTGCGCGGTGGGGCGGCCGCGGGCACTATGGGATGGATTGAGGCTCCTCGTGCGTGCGTGCGCCCCCGTGTGGCATATTGCGCCATTGCACCCACGGCCTCGTTTTACACTGCTGGGACATTTAGCAACAGATATCTGTAAACCCTCAGCCCAGGACCTACCACTGAGTGCATCAGAGAGCGAGGAGCAACGCAAACATGACTATGAATTTTGGAGAATTTATGGTAGAGCACACACAAGAAATAAGTCAACAAATAACACAAAATACCAAACGCCCTGGGCTCCCTATCTCTGCCAGGACCCCTCATGGACCACCTGATCCTGGTGAGCTTGGGGGGCCTCCCTGGGCAGAAGAGAAAGCAGGGCTTGTTCCCAGGCAGTCCATAGGGAGAGGGGGCTCCCACTCTGGGCACAGGGTACTCTGGCCTGCTTCTGATGGCTCCATCCTGGCCCTGATCACTGACTAGAGCTGTACTGGTCACCATGGGTAATGTCCACACAGGTCTGGTGTCCCGGGAGGCTGTAGGTTACCTTCTGCCTAGAGGCAGAGGACAGAGACATAAAGCAGAGCCATCAGTCCTAGGGACACACAAAATCCAAAGTCACAGAAATGTAAGATCTTCCAACTATAAACTGTCAGAAATGACTTGTAAAACAAAGAAGCTTTTTTATTTGTTTTGAAGTTTTAACAGGATTAATTTTAGTATAACAGTGTAAAGTAGAGGGGAAGTGGGTGGGGGGAGAAACATTTCCGCTCTGCAGGCAGGAAATGGGAATAAAAACTCCAAAAGAATCTTAACACTTTGTAAGCACAGAATCTTAGTATCTAACAATTGCAAAATCCACACCCCTTTGAACTCTGTGATTCTACAGGTACACAACTTTATAATCTTGGAATTGGAAAATAAAATAGCTGGGCTCTGTGACACAAACCGGTACCTGAAGTTATATGGGAGGCTGAGGGGGTGGATCACCTGAGCCCAGGAGTTCAAGACCAGCCTGGGCAACATTGTAAGATCTCCCCCCCATCTCCAAAAAATTAAACTAAAACCAACCAAAACAACAAAAAAGAAGATGATGAAGAAGGAGGAGGAGGAGGGGGAGGAGGAGGGAGGGAGAGGAGAGGGAAGGGAAGGGGTAGAAGAAGAAAAGAAAGAAAGAAAAAGAAGATACTTTAACTTCTTTTTCATTCAAAACTTAAACTCAAATTTAAATTCAAGCCCGAGTGTAGAGCTGAGGTGGTACATGCCTGTAATTCCAGCATCCAGGAACTGAGGAAGGAGGATCATCAGTTCAAGGCCAGTCTAGGCCATCCCCACATAGTGAGTGAGACCTTGTCTTAAACAAAAACAATCTGTGCACCTGTGGTTCACACCTAGCTACTCAGGAGGCAGAGATCAGGAGGATCGAGAGGTTTGAAGCCAGCCCTGGCAAGTAGTTCGCAAGACCCTTCTTGAAAGAACCCACCAGAAACGAAAAAAAAAAAAAAAGGGCCCATGGAGTGGCTCAAGGTATAGGCCCTGAGTTAAAGCCCCAGTACAGCAAAAAAATAAAAGAAAAATCACAAAAAGGGCTGGCGGAGTACTCAAGCGGTAAGAATGCCTACCTAGCAAGCATGAGTCCCTGAGTTTGAACCACAGTACTGCCTCAAGGTATAGGCCCTGAGTTAAAGCCCCAGTACAGCAAAAAAAATAAAAGAAAAATCACAAAAAGGGCTGGCGGAGTACTCAAGCGGTAAGAATGCCTACCTAGCAAGCATGAGTCCCTGAGTTTGAACCACAGTACTGCCAAAAAAAAATGAGCTAGGTGTGGTGGCACACATTTGTAATCACAGCAGCAGGGAGGCTGAGACAGGCAGATCCTGAGTTCAAGGCCAGTCTGCTGCATAGTGAGACCCTGTCTCACACAAAACAAAGCAAAACAAATTAAATTCACCAAAGTATCTAAATGTTCATGGTCACAGGCTAACAGAGCCAGGGATCTGATCTTAATGCAACACAGGCCTACCCTCCCTGACCCCCACTCCCACCCCACAGTCCAGCTCAGTTCCAAGGCCCCCAAGACAGGAATCCTGTCTGCCTCATTCTCAGCAGACAGGACTGAGATTCTCCTCTGGGTTGCCACCTGAGACTCGCCCCCAGCTAGGGCACCTCCCCCTTATCAGGCCAAGTTGGCTCTGAGTGTGTGGCACCCCAGTCCCAGGACCATGGAGGGAAGACTGGTCCAGGTGTCCCCACACCAGGCTACTTGTCTGCCTGGGCTTGCTCCTGGCACCAGAGACCATGCTGGCCACAGGGGCCAACCAAACTCCCCTGCCAGGGGCTAAATCTGGGATCTGGCTGCTGCGTATCCTGGCCCTGTCACTCGACCTCTGGCGGCCTAGAAGGGGCAAGAGATGGACTGATAGCAGTGGTCACCTGCCCCCAGGTGCACTCTGCCTCGGTGTGTGGACCCCCTCCCAGGTCCTGCCAAGCTGAGCCCTCGGGGGCATGAAGCCCGTGGGTGTGGGGCCCAGTCCCTCAGTCATCCACTGAGGACCCACAGGACCTCTGCTTTCTAGGTCTGGTTCTAGAACCATCCTGTCACCACCCCCAGGGAGACCGGGGCTCTGAACTCCTCCTTCCTGTCCCCAGTCCCACCGGAAGTTCTCTGCCCCTCGGCATGGGCACCTGGGCTTCTTGCCCCACAAGAGGAGCCATCGACACCGAGGCAAAGTGAAGACGTGGCCGAGGGATGACCCCAAACAGCCTGTGCACCTCACAGCCTTCCTGGGCTACAAGGCGGGCATGACTCACACCCTGCGAGAGGTGCACCGGCCGGGGCTCAGTGAGTTGCTGCAGGGGGCACATGGTGGAGGGGGCTTCCATATATACTAGGAGCCAGAGGTCACTCTGGTGGTCCAGGAGAGGACACCATCCCAGCAAGGATGAGGCCCTGTCCAGAGGAGTCACCGCACAGTGGCAGCAGCAGTCCTGACCCTCACTAAGGGCCGTACTCCATTTTGCTTCATGGCAGCCTAGGCGGTGATAGCCATAAAACTGTGGAGTTCTTCTAGGTCTTTCTAGAACTTCACTGCAATTGTACCTATTAAGTGTCAGGAGGCTCACTGCGCCTGTTGTCCTGTTGTCCTGGCCCACCCTTCCCCATTGGGTGCCCCCCCCCACACCCCTGCTTCATGGCCCCGTCCCTGGGTCTCATCCAGAAAGTTCCAAGCGGGAGGAGGTGGAGGCGGTGACGGTGGTGGAGACACCACCCCTGGTGGTGGTGGGCGTGGTGGGCTACGTGAGCACGCCTCGAGGCCTGAGGAGCTTCAAGACCATCTTTGCAGAACACCTGAGCGACGAATGCCGCCGTCGCTTCTACCGGGACTGGTAAGGGCCGTGCCGGCTCCGGGCTGGAGCAGGGGGTGAGCAGGCAGAGGAGCAGTGTCCACATGGTGTGGAAGGTAGGAAAGCGTGTGTGATGCCTTCACGTCAGTAAGAGATGAGTACGTATTACAGGGCTGGAGAGGAGGCCGGGGTCAAGGACCACGAGGAAGCGGGTATTTCAGTCCTCAGGGTTAACCACAGGGCTGTGATGGGATTTCAGAGTTGACTCTGAGCTTCCTGACAGCCAATGTGAAAAGGGAAACTGCCGACTTAGAAGCTGTCGTGCATAGAAAGGTGTTCTCAGGAATGTGGAGTGGCTCAGGTGGTAGAGCACCTGCCTAGCAAGTGTGAGGCCTGAGTTCAAACTCAAGTACTGGCAAAAGAAAAGAAAGAAAGAGAGAGAAAGAAAAAGATATTTTCAGACCCCAAGTCTCCCCTGGCACTATGTCCCAAAAGGAAAGCCCCACCTGCCTGGAGAACCTCAAAGACCCTTTCCCAAGCACACACACCTCCTGGAGACACGACTCCAAGCTAGCCCTGACCTCAATGGGCCGGTACTGGACGTGGGTCTCAGAGTCAGTGCAGGCTGTGTCCCAGGGCAAGCTGGCTGGCCTCTCAAGTCCCTCTGCTGAAAGTGGGATGAGGGTGTCCATGTTTTGGGGCTACTGTGAGGATGGGGATGGGTAAAGGGTGTTCAGCCCAGGAAACAGGACCAACGAATGCCTGCTCTTCTGTTTTTGCTGTTTCTATCATCTGGGGGCTTTAAGCCCTGTGAAAAGGTATAATTACCTTCCATCTTCCAGACTTCTGGTGAGGGTTAGAAATGATGTCTTCCAGGCCCAAGGCAGACTTTAGAGTGCTCATGGTGCCCTCCACAGGCTTTAGAGTAGGATCAGAGTTGGGAGTGGTGACACGTACCCCCAAGGAGTCAGGAAGCTGAGGATGAAAATGGCAGGTTTAAGACCAGGCTGAGTTGCATAGGAGACCCTGAGTAGAAAAGAAAAGGGATCAGCAGAGCAACAATGGGTAGGTGGGCTGGCCTGGAGGCAGAGAGAGGAGGAAACCTGGCCTAAAGAGGGGGGACAGTGAATGATCAAAGGTGGCACTGGAACCAGCCAGGGCCTTTGGGAAAGTCCTGGATGAGGAGCCCCTGTTTGGTGGGGTGGGGCAGGGTGGCCTGGGAATCTGCCTCTGCTAGGGCCTGCCTCCTGTGTGTGACACAGGCACAAGAGCAAGAAGAAAGCCTTCACCAAGGCCTGCAAGAAGTGGCGGGATGCTCATGGCAAGAAGCAGCTCCACAAAGACTTTGCTGCCATGAAGAAGTACTGCAAAGTCATTCGGGTCATTGTCCACACCCAGGTCAGCCCCGCCCCCACCTGTCAGCCAGCTCACCCTCTGCATTTACCTCCCCACCCCCCCATCCTGCCAGATTCCAGGAGCCCTGACAAATGTCAACCTAAAAATACCATGAGCCTTGGGCACGGGCCCAGAGGTTGACCAGTCACCTCGCTGGTCACCACAGCCCCAGGGATGGGACTCTGAGTGTCAGTGCCCCCCAAGGGCTGCAAGCATTGGTTGTGCCCTGTGGTTAATGAAAGTCTTGATATGCCCTGAAGGACCTGGATCTTCCACCAAATTTCCAGCATGGAGGGCCAGCCACATCTGGTGTTTGGCTCGATGTGGGTGGCAGGTAACCATTTATGATTTATTCTGGAACAGTCCTGGGTATCTTGTCTTCAGGGAAGCCTTTCCTAGGTCTGAGAGAAGCACGCCAATCCCCACCCCTCTCAGAGCCCCTCTGTACACACAGACCTACCCCACACACAAACACTGACTCTCACCTGGGCAGTACCTGGGTAAGTCATTGGTAAATGCTCATCTCCCTTGACAGACTTGAGTTCCGGGGGGCTGAGGCCATGGGGACAGGAGCCACACCTGCCTTGTTCACTCTTGGGCCCCAGAGCCCATCAAGAACCTGATATGCAGTAGGCTCTCCATAAATCCTTGCGAAACACTATGCTGTCATCTAATTGCTCTGTTTCCATCAGTACATCCCCACAACCTGTGCCTCCCACATCAGCCAGAACCCTGCAGCTGCTGTGTCACACCTGACCTGCACTTGGAAGAGAGCCAGAGTTCCTCCCTACACCTGTCTGGCCTTGCCACCCTCCTTGCTCCCATCATCTGACCATGTTGGTCTCCTTTCTGTCCTACAAGCTCTCCATGATCTTCCCTGTCACAGGGCCTTTTCACATGCTTTTTCCTCTGTCCATATATAATCAGATCTTTGCCTAGTAGCTCCTCCCTGTTAATGGTGTCACCTCTTCAGAGAGGCTATCCCTGACCACTCTATCTGAAATATCCCTCCCCAATAGTCCATCAGAGTACTCAGACCTCTTAGCTTCTGTCTGTTCCCCCCAAACTACATAGGGTTCCCTGAGGTGTGGAATCCTGTCTGCCTCATTCAATGCTGTATCCACAATGCCTTGCATAGCACACAGCACATGGCTGGGGCAGAGAACATCTAGCATGAATATATATGTGAAAGACTTTGGGTCACCAGCTGGCCACACCATCTGCAGGTGTGTGGGAAACTGATCACCACCACACCATGTTGTGCAGATGAAGCTGCTGCCTTTCCGGCAGAAGAAGGCCCACATCATGGAGATCCAGCTGAATGGTGGCACGGTGGCTGAGAAGGTGGCCTGGGCCCAGGCCCGGCTAGAGAAGCAGGTGTCTGTGCACAGTGTTTTCAGCCAGAGTGAGGTCATTGATGTCATTGCTGTCACCAAGGGCAGGGGTGTCAAAGGTAGGCATGGTTAAGGATGTTGGTTCCAGAGAAGGCTGCCAGATGTGGGCCGGACTGGACTCTCAACCACCAGCCCCTTCCACCTGCAGGAGTCACAAGCCGCTGGCACACCAAGAAGCTACCTCGGAAGACCCACAAGGGCTGCGTAAGGTGGCCTGCATTGGCGCCTGGCACCCAGCCCGTGTGGGCTGCTCCATTGCCCGGGCCGGTCAGAAGGTTACCACCACCGTACAGAGCTCAACAAGAAGGTGAGTCCACAGCCTTGGGAAAAAGGAGCAAAGCAGGTGGGGTGCATGACCTAGACACTGTCTGGGTCATGAAATGCCCCATCAGCACCTGAGTCTAGTCACACATGCTGATGTGTGTGGACATGTCTCTGCCACCACTGTGCCCTCTTCCTCTGGCAGATCTACCGTATTGGCCGGGGGCTGCACATGGAGGATGGAAGATGGTTAAAAACAATGCATCCACCAGCTACGATGTGACCGACAAGTCCATCACACCACTGGTGAGAGTGGGCTGCTGCCGCCAAGGGGGGCCAGCATCTAGGGTAGGCAGGCCCAGGTAGGCAGGCCTGAGCTCTATCTGGGTGCTACTCTGCTCAAGGTGTGTGCTCCACAGTGGGGTCCTGCCCCCACAGGAACACTGGGAACAAGACCCTGCCAGGTTGTAACCAGATCTAGGCCAGAAGCCTAAATCAAAGGGTTCCACATACAGGTCCAAAATGCCAAAAAGAGACTATTAGTGGTAAAGGGTGGAGAAAGGAGATGCATGTGTGGCACAGGTACAAAAGAGGCAAAGTTAGCATTTCAGCCCATCTTCAGAGTGTAGGCATGAGCTTTAGGTTTTAATAGAGGAGAACTGGGGTAGGGGCAAGAGGTGTGTGTAATTATCAAACAGTCCTGGTCACAGATGTGGTCTTGTTGATTCTCATCTCAGGACTGCTGAGGCTGTGCCTGGTCACAGTAAAAAAAAAAAAAAAAAAAAAAAAAGGCATTGTTGTCTGGGGGGCATTTTTGACCCTTGTCACAGGGTGTTATCAGTCTGAACCCAGAGTTTTGGGCCCAAGAGCCAAACTCCTTAGATTCCATACGCCACGTCCAGCCACCTGGCCGTAAATGCCAAATAAAGAGGCATGGTGAAGGCAGAGAAAGGAGGCAGAGTGAGCACTCAGCCCATCTACAGTCATGTGCAGAGTACAGACATGAGTTATAGGTTTAAATAGTTAAAGAACTGGAGGCAGGGGACAAAAGGTGTGCATGAACAGTTCAGTCACAGGTGTGGTCTGGCTGGCCATTATCTCAGGTCTTGTTCTCGGGAGGTTCTGGTGTTGTTATCTGGATTCATTGTCAACTGGCAGGTGGTCCATCCTGAGGAAGGTTTACTGTTGGGGTAGTTTCTGTCTCCTGTCGTGAATCCAAGGTGATTGCAAATTACTGCAAAGAGAATGGCTTACAACAAAGACAGATACAAAATGGAGATTCCATGCTTTTCTCATGCTATTAGTTAGTTCGTGGGCCCAAGAAGGAGTCAGTACTTTTCAGCAAAAGCAGTTTGAGCATCTCTTAAAATTCCTATCTTTCCTGGATTCTAAGGTGGCTGCAGAGAGAACAGCTCAGAGCAAAGACATACATACTGGGCACTGGTGGCTCATGCCTATAATCCTAGCTACTTGGAAGTCTGAGATCAGGAGGATATCAGTTCTTGGCCAGTCCAGGCAAATAGTTTGCAAGACCCCCATCTCCAAAATATCCAGAGCAAAATGGACTGTGAAGCCCTGAGTTCAGACCCCAGTTCCACCAAAAAAAAAAAAAAAAAAAAAAAAGTACAAAATGGAGGCAGTGATGCAAAGCTTTTCTTGTGCTTTCAGTTATCTTTAGGACATGACATTTGCAGGCCCAAGTGAGGAGTCAGTGTTTTTCAGCAAAAGCAGTTTCCGAGTACCTGTTATAAAGTGGGAAGTGAGGAGAGGTACAGGGGATCAGTGAGCAGTCAACTGGTAGCCCCAATCCCTCACCCTCACCCTCAGCCTGGTCTGAGGAGCTCTGACTCTAGTTGCTGTCATGGGGATATGAGATGCAGCAGCACCCACTGTGGCCCGGGACTAACCCTCAGTCCAGTGGGCAGCAGCTGTGGAGCCTACAGCAAGAATCCAAACTTCCTAACTCAGCTTCCTCCCATAAACGTGCAAACTGAGATGATGATGGAAGAGGACTTAGAGTGTGGCTCAGACGCTGTCCTGATTAATGATCCAGCAGACAGTATCAGCCCTGCACCTGCGGGCTGGCACAGGGCTCCTTCCAATCACAGCCCTGTGTGGGGAATTCTCTTCGGGCTCCCAGCCACACCCTTGCCTGGCCTCTGACCTACCTATTTCCCTGCAGGGCGGCTTCCCCCACTATGGGGAAGTCAACAATGACTTCGTCATGCTGAAGGGTTGCATTGCAGGTACCAAGAAACGGGTCATCACACTGAGGAAGGTCAGCAGAGTATGGTGGCTGGGAAGTGGGCCCCCATGGGTTGTCCTCCAGTCAGCTCAAAGGTGTGGGGGTGGGGCAGAAAGGGAGGGGTCCTGGCAGGAGTTGAACGATATGAACTGGAGGTGACAGGAGGAAGGGGGACCCTCTGACCTTAATGCCTCCTTTCCCATGGATCCCCAGTCTCTCCGGGTGCACCACAGCCGCCGGGCCCTGGAAAATATTGAACTCAAGTTCATCGACACCACCTCCAAGTTCGGTCATGGACGTTTTCAGACAGCGCAAGAGAAGAGGGTCTTCATGGTGAGCTAATCCCACCGTGTTCTTTCTCTGGAGCTCAGACTCCACCTCCCGCTTGCTTTGGAGTAGGGAAGCTAGAGCAGGTGGAGCTGGCAGGGCCCCCGCACTCGCCCACAGGAAGGGGTTCTTAGGGGTCCAGCAGGGCCGGCCCTGGTGCTGGCTACAGACTCTCGTGACTAACACTCCTCCTGCCCCCACCCCCAGGGTCCCCAGAAGAAGCATCTCGAGAAGGAAAAGCCGGAGAGCTCGGGAGACTTATAGGCTGCTTGGATGGCAGCGCACCCGTTGCCTGTCCCTCCTGTCCAACAAATAAAGGCCCAAGGCAACGCTTTCTGGTGTCTCAGAGGGTTGAGGGTGCGCGGAAAGACCGGTCGAAAACCAGCGGCACGGAGCTGAGCGCCGGGGGACAGGACGAGGGGACGCGGCCACCCAGCTCCTGGGACAGGTCCCAGGTGTCCCTACTGCACCAAACTGCCGAGCAGCGCCCACAGGCGCTCAAGACTCTTCAAGGCTTCGGCACAGGGGCGGGGCTTCGCGCATAGGGGTGGGGCTTCGGGAGTTACGGGCAGGGCTTCTAGCAAGAGGCTCAATTAGAGGTCCTTATTGATGGGCGGGGTCTGCTGGGAAGTCAGCATTCGACTGGTCTTCGGGAGGAGGCGGAAGCCGGAGCCTTGTGCTTGGAAGAGATTGGTCCTCGGGAGGGGCGTGGCAAGAATCCTGGTGTCCCTGCGTAATTGGTCCTCTGCAGGGGCGGGCTTAGAACTGATCGGTGAGTGGTTGGTTCTCGGGAGGAGGCGGACACAGGTTTGGGTCTTGAGTCTACGGCCTGGGGCTGGTTCTGGGAGCCAGCGTGCGGCGGTCCCGGCGGCGCCATGGCTTTCTGCAGCTTCTTCGGGGGCGAAGTTTTCCAGAACCACTTTGAGCCAGGTCCGGCCTGCGGCCTCCTGCTGGGAGGGCAGCGGAGCGGGGGCGTAAATTAGGGGGCGTCCTCGCCCTCTGGGTGGCGGTAGAGGCCCTGAGCCCGGGAGTGGGGCGAGAATAGCCAACAGGGAGGAATGAATGTGGCGAAAGTGGGTCGTGGAGAAGGAGGGGAGGTCCTGGGGGACCCTGGCAGGGGAGAGGCGACATTAGAGGGGGGAGGTCACTGTCCTTGAGGAGGACAGGCCTTGAACCTGAATATAGCCCTTTCTAGGGGAACCTGTGGGACTGGTACTTGGAGATAGTAACGCCAGTGGGGCATCCGGGTCAAGGACCCGACTGAGGTCCAGGGGCAGCTCCAGGTGTTACCCAGCCGTCCCCCTTTCCGGGACTTCTGGGGTGGACAGATATGTACTGAATGTCCTGTTCTGAGCTAAATGCCGGCCCAGGTGCACACTCCCAGGGCCTCCAGCTTGGGTAACCAGGGGTGCCACCGGTTCCTGCCAGTGTGACCTGTGAGGTTTGACCCGTATAGCACGGGATAGCCTGGGTGTGGTGGTTTAGGGCAGGGCCAGCTCTCAAGCCTGGCCCCAGGCTGTGAGAAATGCTGGTTGAGTTCCCTTCTAGCTGAGCTCTCCTGATAATGGACTAATTTGGTAAAAACATCCATAGGCAAGACTAGGGCTTAGGGCCTTGCCTCCTTGGGGTGGGATCTGCTGGCTGACAGTCCTTTAGGGGACTGTGACACAGGATCACTAGGGTTTGCAAAGCTCTCCTCTGAGACGCTCCATCTGTAGGACTCCAGTTGCCCTGCCAAACTGGAAACTTCACTTCCATGGCAGCTCCCATGGAAGCTTCTCTTTGCTTCTCCTCCAGTTCCTGGTAGACTAAGCAGTTCGCAGACTCCAGGGGAGGCTGTTTCCAGGTGGTGGGTGGAGATGATTCAGTTCCCCTGGAGGTTCCTGTTTTTCAAACAGTTATGAAACTTGATTTTGTAACTTTTCCTGCCCCCTCTGCCCCAAAGTGCTCTTTTTTGGGGACAGGTTGAAATTGTCCTCCCAGCCCTTGTTTTCCTGGGCTCCCTGTTTGGCCTGGAGGCCTGTTTCTGAGACTGTTGTCTTTGCATGGCAAGCAGGCTGATGGTGGTGTCCATCTCAGGATTTTGTTGGGTAGCAGGGATGGCCACTTGAGGGGGGAGGGGGCCAGGTAGTGACACTGGTCACCCACTGTGTGAGTCTTGCCGGGGACTGGTGGGGAGCATTGTGTCTCATCAGACTGCCTGGGCTCCATCCTGGCCACTTATTTTCTCACTGGGTGTCTGTAACACCAAGCCTCCACTTGCTCATGTGTAAAAGGAAATGTTAAAGATTCCAAGTGACAAGGCCATTGAGCGAGTCGACAGGATGAGCGTGAAGGGTGACACCTGGTCTCTGGCACATCAACTAAGCACGTGCACAGTGCTGTGTCTCTCCTAGAGCCAATCTGTGGCCAATGAGTAGTGGGCACATGGAGAGGGTATGCAGCCCACCTTTGGATTGGGGGCAGCATGACTGGGTCTGAGGACTGCAGGGCTTGCCACAGAACTGAGGTCTCTGCTTTCACTCTCCCCCTGCCCTAGGTGTCTATGTGTGCGCCAAGTGTGGCTATGAGCTGTTCTCCAGTCGCTCAAAGTATGTACACTCGTCCCTTGGCCGGCATTCACTGAGACCATCCATGCTGATAGTGTGGCCAAGCGCCCGAGCACAATCGACCTGAAGCTCTAAAGGTGGGTGGCAGTAGTTTGGGTTGGGGGCTGGCCAGGGAGGGTCAGAGGTCCAGTTAACTTCTTTCATCTGCTGTCCTATACCCTCGGATCATTGAGGCTGTTCTAGGCCTCCAGTCTCAGCCAGGCAGCTGCCAACACACACTTAGGGAGTTCCTGGTGTCCGGGCAGAACATGGGCAGCAGGAGAGCCTTCATGCATGGGCTCCAACCTCTCATGGTCACAGTAAGCTTGGGAAATGGACAAGAGAGGGAAACACCAACTGCCAGCAGCAGGAAGGGTATCACTGTGGCTGTTGTGTGAGCCAGTAGTTTATGTGACTGTGTTGTGGTCTTCCCAGGTATCCTGTGGCAAGTGTGGCAATGGACTAGGCCATGAGTTCCTGAATGATGGCCCCAAGCGGGGACAATCCCGATTCTGAATCTTCAGCAGCTCGCTGAAGTTCATCCCTAAAGGTGAGCAGCTTGAGGGAAACCCAGTGTGCATCAAGGAAGTCTAGGGTGGATCTGTTCATCTACTTACAGTCACCCTAAAAGATGGCTGCCCAGCAAGGACAAAGCAGCAAATGTCCTGCTTCCTCTGCTTGGTTGATCATGAGCGCCCCAGAGAAGGACATCTTAGGGAGGGTGTGGCAAAAGGTTTTCTCTGGAGGCCTGGTCTTTCCCGTGGCTAGAGTTGTTGGTATGGGTGGGTGGAGGCTGAGGACCTGACTCACACGACTGTGTTTCCTATTGACTGCAGCCACAGGCTTCCTTCTCAGCCTCTGAGCTTATCCCCTCTGCATGGAGGCTGTGGTCACAGAGCCTTCTCCCAGGGTTGTTGCAAGGCTGCATGTAATGCTGTGCCCCTGCCCTCTTGTCATCAGCATAGTTAGCAAAGGCCACTAGTGTTTGGGAAGCATTTGTCATTAGAGCCATCTATACTCTTATCAGCTCAGCCTCCTCTGGCCCACTGCTCTCCTGCCAACACAGATCCTCATGCCTCTTCAGTCTGTCTGCAGGCACAGCCACCCCTGGCTCCTTCCCATGGTCTGTGGTTTGAATCCCAGCTTTATCCTGACTGTACCCAGGACCTCAGCTAGTCCCTTCATCCCAGTTTCATGCTCTGTAAAATGGGGCTGTCAATAGTACATGCCATTGCCATCCTTTTGTGGGGTACAGTGAATGGTCTGTAAGGGCCATGATGTTTTTGTTCTTTCTTCATTGTTTGTCTTTGTGGAGGAAGAAGTGACTTTAGGTTCTCCTGTAGATCTCAGAAAACAAATAGGGCACATGGACTGGTAGCTTGCCTGATGTCTGAAGCATAAATTCAGTGGCAACTTGTTCTCTCCCCTTCCTCCTTTCTTTCCGTTTCTTTCAGGCAAAGAAACTTCTGCCTCCCAAGGGCACTAGGTGCAGAGCTCACCCCCACCCCAGATGGATGCACCATGGCCACACCCAGGCTGTTGCACCTTGGCATTGGAACCCCAAGCATTCAGACAGGGAGGCTGGACAAGGGTGGCTGAAACTTCAGGAAGTCCCAAGGTCTGGTTCTGAACAGAATCTTCTTGGACAAAGCACTTCATTGTGATAGACTGCACCCTTCTGCCAGGATGTCCTCAGAGGCAGTACCTGAGCCACTGGCTGTCTTGGCCTTTGACTCACACAGAGATTCTAGGAGGTTTTGGGCTTATGCGCCCCCCCCCTTTTTTTTTTTTGGTGGCACTGGGATTTGAACTCAGGGCCTCATACTTGCTAAGCAGGTACTCTTAGATGTTGAGCCACTCCACCAGCCCTTTTTTTGTGATGGGATTTTTTTGAGATAGGGTCTCCAAACTATTTCCCCGGGGCTGGCTTTGAACCTCAATCCTGCTCTCTACCTCCTGAGTAGCTAGGATTACAGGCGTGAGCCACTGGTGCCCAGCCACACCTATTCTGTCATCCTTGTTGTGCCTCCCCTTCCTTGGCTGTCTGGATCCACCCCTATGGTGCCCAATTCCCATAGGTTCTCACCCAAGCATGTGTGTCTATCCCAGGCTGTGCTAGGAGACAGTGCAAATGGGAGCTGCCCTGGCCAGCTGCTCAAGCCCTTGTCACCGCATGATCTGCTCTGGTTAAACCCATATAGGCCAGCCAGGGTAGTGATGATTTGTGATCTGTAGGGGGAGCATTTTCTAGTGGAGAAATCCTGAGCCCTATTTCATCATCGTGGGTGCAGCTTGCCTTACTCAAGCTTGGGAAAGCAGCTGTTGCCTCACTACCTGACTAGTGTATCTGAAGTCATGGGGTCACTCTCCAGTTCATGGCTACAGAGGTGTCCCTTCCCAAGACCTGGCCACTGTGCCTTACTGTATGTGTCCAGAAGCTCTTGCCACAGGAGGATCGGTGATGCTGAAGGTTACCTCCCAGCTGGAGTCCCTTCTGGAGTAATCAGGTGGAAATCAATAAACATGAAACCCAGGCCTTGTACATCACAGGCAAGCGCACTTACCACTGAGCCACACCACAGCCTCAGCCTCCTGACTTTATTAACATTAGGAATATGACAATGTCAGAATTTTGCAGGTTTTTTCATTTGTTCTACAAAGATTTGTTGCTTGGTTCTGGACTCAGTGTTGGGGATGCAGCCGTGAGCAGGATGAGGTCTTGTCCTCAAGGTCTCATGGCAGAGCTGGGGAGATAAAAGTTAACAACAGATGTTGAAAAAGCGTCATGAGCACTTGTCTAACAGGCATTAGAATGTGTGGAGGGGGCGACTAAGGGCTGCCCTTTTGACTCTAGTGGTCAGGAAGGAGGGGTCATTTCAGTCCAGCAGTGGCAGGTGAGAGAAGGAAGGGAGAGTTTCCCAGGCAGTGGGAAGAGCACACGTAAAGGTCTGCCACAGGCCCTGAAGGGTGAGGTACAAACGACCTATGAAGAGGTATATTATATTTCTTAAGAATGACACTTTCGTTGTTGTTTTTTGTTTTCCAATTTATATTGCCAGAAGTCCAGGGAGACTGAGAATGGGTATGGAGGGTATAGGATGGTATGGTGCGGGAAGGAATGTAAAGTTGGATTTATTGAGATGGGCCCACTAACAGATTCTGGATTTAATTTTGCAGCTTGGTTTAGAAAGAAATCTGACTCGGTTGGGTGGTGGAAACATGAGCCAAAAGGTGGCCTACAGGAAATGAGGTTGAAATGTCAGCCCTGCCTTGGTTTACTGTAGGAAGGTTTCAGTGTTGGAGGGCATTTGTTACCCTGCTTACCTACCCTAGGAGGGCCAGAGGACACACTTTGCCCTGAGACTGAGAAGTTTGGATGGAGCCCGGTGTCGCTGAAGAGCCCTGTGGTCACTCTTCTCCTGTAGGTTACAAGTTAGAGTGGGAACCACAGACACTGAATTGGTGACATTAAGTATAGTGGGAGTCATTGGAACCTAGGGTGGCAGGGACAAAGTTGTAGTGCTCAGTTGCCAAAAGCAAGGTGGGCACTGTTCTGGGAAGGGATGGCACACACATATGGACTCCTACCTATCGCTTCGACTAGAGGCTTGTGTTGTCTATAAAAGTGAAACGGGCCATTCCCTGAAGCCTTACCTAAGCCGAACGAGTGTAGGTCCAACTCTAAAATGAATCATAAAATAGTCACGTCCCCAGTCAATCCCCAGATGGGCCCAGTACCCTGGTTGAAGGGGAGGCCAGATCTTGAGGAGGGACACCCCCACCCCCAAATTTGTACTGCTAATCTAGCCTTCCCCATGGCCTTTTTTTTTTTTTGTTTTTTCCACTGGGGGTTGAACTCATGGCTTTATGCTTGCTAGGCAGGTGCTCTACTACTTGAGCTGCTCTGCCAGCCCCTTTACAGCCTTTTACTAGGGCAATTGTGCACTGGGGAAAAGAAAATCAGGACACTGGTCCTGAACTGACAAATCCAAGAGGCCTGAATGTCCCTCTTAGAGCTGGAGTTTTTAGAGGTCAGGTGATCAGTACTGTCAGCTCAGTGGCCATCTGTAGTCATTTCTCCAGTTCCTGAAGGTTAAAATAGACACCACAGAGGGTTCATCCCCACTGGGAGGGGTAGATCTGCAAGTGCAAGCACATGGAGAAAGGAGAGACTAGGCTACATGCTCACCTGTTCTGCTTATTCACACCTGGGTATTTGGACTGTGCCCCTGGCAAGGGGTCCCTGCTGTGATTCCAGACCAATGATTTGTGCAAGGCAACCAGCTTCTCTGCCCACACCTGACACTCCTCTCCATCCCAAAACTGGCTCTAGGAAGACTGCAGACCCCTTTTGTGCACAGCCTGAGGATAGCAGGTATGTTGAAGGTGGCTCCTGCTAGGAGTGGAGAGGGAGCTGACAGGTCATCAGTAATTTCTGGGTTTAGGATAGGTAGGAAACTTGGGCTTTTCTCACTTCTCCCAGCACCCCAGGTCTGTGTTCTAGTTCATTTTGTCCCTGGAAGTGGACTAGAGCCTGAGAGCAGATTGGCCTGCAAACTACTGGGACAGGTGCCTGGGTAGGCACAGGACCTGCTGGTGCACAGGTCTATTGGGGTGGTTGCTGGGGATAGAGGGGGGGGCAGTTGGCTGCATCCCAGATACTCCATTTGCATATCTGTGTCAAGGGGGTGGGGATGGGGATGAAGTGGGTGATTGGACTGGGTCAGTAAACAGTGTCCTCAGAGGGGAGAGAGACCAAGGTGGGTCCCAGGATCTTGAGGGTTTCTCACACTGGAAGCTGGTGGGTGGATAGCCATGGGCAGGGTTTGTGTTCTGGGCAGCTGGAGGAAGGGGATGGCATTTCCAGCCCTGGGATCTCGATGTGTAATCATAAGTCACCTTATACCCTCCCCCTCCAACCTGTGACCTGCCTCTGATTCCTCCTGGGAGAGAAAAGGCTTTTTGAGAGTGCAGTGCCCTGCTTTCCCCTCTGGTAGTTTTTTCTCCTTCCTTGGTAGTTGGAGCCTAGGATCAGGTGCTCAGTGAGTCATAACCATAGATTAGTCATAGGCTCGGGAGAAATGAGGCTGTGTCTGCACCTGCTAAGGCCCAGCAGGACCAGGCCACTCAGAGGAGCATCAGTAAACATTTGCAGAATGAGTGAACTGACATGCTTTGAACTTTTGGTCACCTTGGGCTTTCCTTTCCCCAAGTGAAAGTGCCCTTACCCTGTTGGTGTGTTCAGCCCTAGGAAAGTACCAAGAACTTCCTCACTGTGGGTGGGAAAACCACATAGGAGGGGGAGTCCAGAGAGATTGGAGAAGGTTATCACCAAGCCTTACATATGCCTCCATCCCAATATGTGAGAGCATCAAGGCCCTCTCCCAAGCCTCTGTGCCCATGAGGTCTGGAGGCCTGGGTTGGAACTGGGCCAGGGCCCACCAGTAGGGGGCACTTGCTGCCTGCAGCCTGGGAGCCAAGGTGGGCTGCAGTTCCCCTAGGCACCGTTGGAGGGCACTGAGTCAGTGGCATCTACTACACCTTGGGGTCACTGCACCCAGCCCGGTGTCCAGGGGCACTGAGTGGTCATCTGTGCCCAACCAACATCCAGTGCCAGGAATACAGATGGGGACCTGATGGTGGAGGAGACATCTTGGGAGCTTCACCAAGTGACCTATACAGGGTTCCCACTGACGCCTGGATGCCCCTTCCTGAGTCAGCCCCAATGGGACAGCTGGGAGATAGAGGAGGTGAGAATGGCAAGCGTGTTTCGGGGCACAAGTACAGGCAGGATGTCCCAGACCCAGCCAACCCCAGCCCCTTCCCAAGGGCACCTGGGTTGCTAGCACCCATCCTTCTTTCCTTGTGGCCCTTCCATGCTCCCACGTTGGGCCCTGCTGTCAACCTGGCCTGCCCAAGAAGGAGGCCCTGTACTGCTTGAGCCTCACCTCCAGGACATTCACGCTAGTTACTGCGGAGGTGGGGTCTGTAACCATTTCCCCAGTCTGGCCTTGAGCCTCGATCCTCTCAATCTCAGCTTCCAAAGAAGCTGGGATGTTAGGCGTGAGACACTTGCACTGGCTCTGAGGTTGCGTTTTGCAGGCCTCCTTCCTCTGCCCACCTCTCCCCTCCACAGCCCAGACTACTACTTTCTGGCCTCACCAGCCATCTTTTCAAAATAATAATCAGATAGGGAACGCCCTCTTCTAAGTTCTGCACCATGGCGGGGGCTCACCCCACTTCTCCAGTCTGATTTCCTGCTCTGCAAATGAGGTCCATGCCGTTTATCATAATGATGCTCTTCACTGTCCATACTCCCTGCAACCAAAGCTCTTCACCTGCATCTATAGGCAGACTGGATTCTTTCTAGAAACTCATTGTCAGTTGTGCTCCTAGAGTTTACTGTTTTTTCTTCCCCAGCCTTTCCCCACTGTCAGAATCCTAGAAGCTCTGCCCCAGTGGCTGTCTCCTTCCCCTCACTGCAGGGCCCCAGGTGGGCCTCCTATGCTAAGGCACATGTTGGATCCCTGCTGTCATCTTGCAGGTCTCACCGTATCCAGAGCCCCTCAAAGCCCTTGGTCATGGCACACTCATCTCATCCTCTTTCCTGGCCCCTGGCCCCTCCAGTCATTGCAAAGTGTAGCAGTAGGTGAACCAATGTTTCTCCACCTTCACTTCCTTCTGCCGCTCCTGCAGATCCACACAGTTGAAGGACAGGTACCAGATACCTACCATGTGTTTGCATAAGTGCATCTGTGGTCTCGAGAATACAGTGGTCCAGGACCCCC